AAATCAGCAACGTTCATTGCTATGCAGATGATATCACTGTGGATGTCTCGTACACCGGCCGTGCTGACATTTCTCAGGAAAACGTCTACGAGAGTTGAAACAAGTTTGTGTCTGAAGTTGAGTTTTTGTTAACTAAAGTCTCAGACTGGGGTCGACTAAACTTAGTCCAATTCAACCTCAATAAGAAACTATTTTACGCGTTAACCGCTAAAACGTCCCCATTTGTCGTGATTCCTCATTTTGAAAACACTCCCCTGTCTGCCACAACTAGTATCGGAATACTTGGCGTCGAAATCTCGAGCAATGTCCAGTTCCGCGGTCATCTGGAAAGTAAGGCCAAGTTGGCCTCAAAGAAGCTCTGCGTAGAGTTGTTGGATCACTCTGTATCTCCTATCGCATTTATCCCGGGGAGTGTTCCGAGGAATTGTTTGGTTTGATGCCGGCGGCTGAATTTCACTATCGAACATGGCACAAAAACCAAAAATTCATCCACACCACCTTGATGTCCTGCGTTCCACAACAGCACGATTTATAAGGCATTTTCTGCCTCACACAACCTCTCTGTGGAACCAGCTGCCGCCTGCGGTCTTTCCGAATAGTTACGACCTGGGAACCTTCAAGAAGAGAGCATACTCTTTTCTAAAAGGCCGGCAATGTATTTGTAAGTCCTCTAGAGTTGCTGGGGTCCATGGGCGGTGGTGATCACTTACTGGTGATCAGGTGATTCTCCTGCTCGTTTATCAGCTGTTAAGACATGTTAACTTGAATAAATCATTAATTACATCACAACCAGTTTAGTTTTCACGGACACGGAGTCGTTCTACAACCGATGCTGGTGTAGAGCTGATCAAACATATATTTGAGGGAGAGTTCACAGGATGCTCTGGGTGTCTTTTGTAATCTTTCCAAGGCTTTCGATTGCGTGAATCATGAAACACTGATCAGGAAATTGCGCCATTATGGCATTAAAAGTACCGCGCTTGACCTCATTAAGTCATATTTATCTAATAGAATTCAAAAGTTGTGATTAATGGTGCTAGTTCTTTTGGGTCGACGGTATCTATGGGCGTTCCGCAAGGCTCGATTCTCGGCCCATTTCTCTTTCTCATTTACATTAATGATCTTCCTTACTTTGTAGGGAATAAACACGATATAGTGTTATTTGCCGATGATACATCATTAATTTTTAAAATCTATCGACAGCTTGTTACACTTGATGAGATAAATAATGCTATGTCAGAAATAGTAATAATTAAATGGTAATAATATTAAATGTATGAAATTTTCAACACCTAATGTTAAACATTTGGGTGCTAGCAATGCACTTATAAATGGGGGGGAGTTAGGCCTTGTGGATACGACTGTCTTTCTTGGAATAACTCTCGATGCTAAGCTTCAATGGGGTCCCCATATATCCAAACTAGCGAATAGACTAAGTTCTGCAGCGTATGCTATAAGGAAAATAAGATGTCTAACTGATGTAAAAACAGCTAGAATTGTATATTTTAGTTACTTTCATAGCATAATGTCATGTGGTATTTTGTTATGGGGGCACGTGGCCGATATATAAACAATTTTTATTTTTGCAAAAAAGGGCCAAAAGAGCTATTTATAATCTAGATTCGAATGCATGTTTGAGAGAGAAGTTTAAAGAAATAAATATATTAACCTTAGCCTCTCAATATATATATGAAAATGTTATGTATGTGCGTAGAAATATTAATAATTTTAATAAGAATACTGATGTACATAATGTAAACACTAGGAACAAACACAAGCTTGTAACGCCAGTTACTAGACCCCATAGAGTAAGTAACTCGTTCATGGGGCGGTGTATACGCTTTTACAACAAAATCCCAGTAAATGCGCAAAACCTGCCTATTAACAGGTTTAAGAAATTTATTAAAGAAAAACTTTATAAAAGGGTTATTATAATACAAATGAATACATTAATGACAATAACCCCTGGGAATGAGTTGATCGCTCCCAAGCTATTTCTAAAAGGAAAAAAAATCAGTTGTATAATGTTTTAATAATTTTTAAGAAAAAAAAATGAATTACAAAATAGAGGATACCTACGGAGTTTCTTTCGTCTGTTTCTTCTCCGCTAAAGGAACCTCATTACGAAACGGTGGTAGATTTAAAAAAAAAATGACTATCGACGATGTAAGTTTCTTATGTCGATGAATAAATGATTTTGATTTTGTTTGCCGCTTTCTTCCCATAAAAAGAAAAAAAAAAACATTCAGCCGTAACATTCAGCGCATACCTGGAGCAGAGGGGCATTGCTCCCTGAGAAGGGGCTGCTGAGGTGGCCAGCGCTGCCATGGTACCCGCGAAAGTGTGCGAAAGCGTTCCCATAGGCGCCTAGGTGTGGAATATCGTGGGGGTTTTAGTCGGTGCGAGTTCGACATAACCTGCTCTTGCCCCCACGATAGCGGGTATGCGTAGGCATTTCCCCCACGTTAACAAAAAAAGGTCCTGAGAGGTGATGGCTAGGACCCTTTACCCCTTAAAGGTTGATAGTATCGATAAATAGCTGATGTAATAGTTTGCTTTATTACATAAGTATTTTTATGTAATGCATTTTTTAAAGAAAACAATGAGAAACCATTTGCAACAATGTTTCAATGAGATAACCTAATTTGGATAACAGATTTTCGTCGCAGTTTGTTGACGTCATGCAGTCATGCAAATAACTATGGACCTGGTTCCGGTTCGTGCAAAGTGCGGTGTGTGTTGTAACGTCAGCAAGTACAGCGGTACGCAGGGCTTGTACACTGCTGGGCTGAAAAAACATCTTCGAAGATAGCTGAGGGGACTATAATGAATCTTTGACATAATGCGTACAAGACGAATAATAATAATAAATAATTAATCTCCGGTTGTTCCATGCTTTCCAACTCTGAGTATCTGCATAGACACAACCTAGTAGCCAGAATCCTACACCAGGAGCTCGCTCTGAAATACGGCCTCGTGGAATGGAAACTGCCGTACTATAAGTACTGTCCGGAGGCCGTGCTCGAAAATGACCGCGCCAGGCTCTATTGGGACCGGTCCATCATCACGGGCAGGACGTTTGTCGCGAACAAACCTGATATCGTGTTGATGGACCGGGCACAGTATGGGTATTTTTGGTCGACATCACCATTCCATATGACGAGAACCTCGAGAAAGACGAAACAGATAAAAAGACGAAGTATCTGGACCTGGCTCATGAGGTGACCGACATGTGGGGTGGTGTGCCGGCCGAAGTTATCCCGATAGTCATGTCTTTTTTTTTAATGCTAAAAGTTGCCAAACGAGCAGATGGGTCACCTGATGTTAAGTGAATACCGCCGCCCATGGACATCTGCTACACCCGAAGTTTACAGATGCGTTGACAACCTTTTGAAAATTGGGCTCCGGCTACCTCACTCACCAGACGAAACGCGAAAGTATTTGTCATACTTCCACTTTACGCTGGTCTTCTGTGAGGTCGTGGTACTTACCCGGATGGGCCTGCCCATTCGTGCAACAGCCGAGGCTGCTGCGTGGCCCTACCACCGTTTAATGTCTGCGAATGGGTTGATCCCAGTCAGCCTCTCCGGACACCTGAGGCGACAGGGACTCCGGGACTGGGACTCCAAGCTCTAATGCAGAAAGCGGTGCTCCTCGATATCGTCCGCCGGTTTCTATCCCTTTCACTCTAACCCTCGGCCGTTTGGTCTCCCCTGCCGAGGGCTTCCTTTTTGGGTCCTATTTATATATGTTTTATATACAATATTTATACCTATATGTTTATTTTTATTCATAACGTTTATTTTATATATGTAATATATATCTATATGTTTATCTATAAACCCAACCAGACGAGAAAACAAATAAATATCCCCATCATAACAAATAATAATAGGACATTTTTAGGACACATTCTTTTTACACAACGTTCTATCCCAAACTAAGCAATGCTTGTACTATGGGTACTAGAAAACTGATAGACATATTTAAAAATACTTTTCTTTTATAAATAAATACACATTATACATTTATAAACACCCAGACACTAGAAAAACACTATGCTCATCACACAATATTTTTCCAGTAGTGGGGATCGAACCCACACCCTCTGCCGCGTCCGACCACAGTCGTGCAGGTCGTCGTAAGGAATATAACCACGTTACATAAGAACATTTATGAAAGATTGTTGATCTCTAACTCTCCAAAAATATCGTCCAGATGTAAATATGGGTATATACATTTTTTTGATGAGTGGCAAAATCACACAGACAGCATTTTTTAAAACCATTACTCTCTTCATACGATATAAATAATTGAGAATCGAGTCATATTATAATACAGGGAGGCTTTTCAAAGTGTATCCATTTTTTTTAATTAAATTCTAGACATAAATTGTGTTATATAAAAAATGATAAATATTTAAAATCACCTGTAAGCAATTAATTACATTCATTTGAACTTATCTCAAAAAGTGCGTGATTTATACGCAACTCATTTATTTTACGCGCGATCATTCATAACTAACACGCACACAAATTCGTGCACAGTAAAATTTAGGTATTTATGAATGGCTACCGCATTGTCAACACATTCTGTTTCTTAGGGTTAAGAATGGCATTTTTTCGAAAAAAAAAAGTTTGTTTTTATTTCAGTAAATGATTATACTACCGAGTCTGAACCTCCTGTGTAAATTTGGGCACCTTTAGAAAAGTCACCCTGTATATAGGTACACAAAATGTAATACTTTTTTATCTATAACTTGCGCACGGTTTTACAGTAGAGGCTGAAATCGCAGTCACGAACAGACCTAATTAACTTAATCGAACCATCACTTAGTCAAGTTCGGTCAATGAAGGATAGAAGTAGCTAGTATAATATCTAATGTAATGAAAAATATACGCGAGTTTGTCATACGTATGACACGTCCTTAAATATACAATTTGTGAACTCATATAAATGTTAAAAAAAACATAAAAAGTGGTCTAAGCTTATGAACTCGCATGGCGCTGTCCCTTTTGACGTTAGAAGCAAACGGATCGGGTGAAGTGGTGGGGCTCGAAACTCGGAGTCAATGCAAGACGCGAACTGATTGCATCACTCGAGGGTCGGCCATTTTTAATGACCAGTTCCAGACCACGCCATCACTCAATCTACGGTGTCGGCAACTTCTATTGTGGACACATTGCGCTGAGAAAGTGTGTAGAAGTTCAAAAATTAATAATATCTATCTTCATTGTATAGAAAAGTATTCGAAACACAATTACGCCAAGATCCCTGATAAGTATATATTGGAAATCCCTTATCGTTGCTCCTCATTAGGTTAATACTAATATATTTATGCATATATTAGTATAAACAACTATTTGCGTGTCAAATGCCAATAAAAACATTTATACGTTAGATAATTATGATTATGATTTTTTGCATTATTTTTATTTCATTACTTGATTTTCTAGTTATATTTAAAACGGTGAGTTACAGAACTGCACTGTTGTATAGGCTCAGAGAAAAAGATATGACACCAAGAACTCCCATAAATAGAAAGTTATTCGAAATTTAAAAACAACAAACAAACAAACCTTTTACCCGATGTTTTATTGGGAACATACAGTGAAAGAGAATTTGCTTCCCATTAGTATAAGGATCTTATGATATAGCACCTTATGAACATTACATACACAAAACCTTGGAGTTCTCAAGGTCGTACTTGCTTTGCTTATTTCGCTTCCACGGGAAGCGTAAACATAAACTAGCGGTCGCGTTTCATCATGAGTGATTGTCTTACCATCACAAGCTTACCGATACACGGAGCTCCCTTTCCCTCGATTATGTTATGAATTGAGAGTTCTAATTACGTATAGGGGTTCTATATGGCATCGGTACACATCGTAACGAGGCCGATCTAAAACAGTAATGTTTAAAACTAATAAATATTTACTAAATAATTAAATTTGTATAAATATATTCAGCGGCAATGCAGATGCACTTAACCCCATGGCGTGCATTGAGCGTCGTTTCGGACAATTCCTTTGGTTTATCAGAATAATTGTGCGATAAAATGAGAAGGAGCAAGGTCGAGAAAATGTCTTTGTTCGTTAGAGATTTAAGCACGTAGGTGTCCGTTAAAATAAATAATTGATAAAAAATAGTTCATTGACGTGATATCTTGTATTCTAGCTAGCACTATTCAAAGCTAGTGGTTATTACATTAGATTCAAGAAAATTGGTTTCAATTAGGGTATCTATTTAACAGGCTATTGGTGCCAATGGTAAATGTTGTTGGGCGTTCCTTTTGAAAAGCAAGACAAGACAAACGAGCGTCATTCGAAAAGTGTTGCGTTGAGCATTGCGCGTGCGCCATAAAACGGCGGCTCGGAGGAGCGCCGCGCCATTTGGTCGCCGCGACGCCGCGCCGTCCACCGCTCAACGGAACGAGTCGCTCCCACCGACCGGCCACTCAAAGAGTACTTTTATATATCTGAAACTGCGGCCACTGACATCGCGGATTCAGTGAGTGACTCCAGTGCGTTTACACGGCGGTCTGGAATATTGGTTACAGGTGAGCGCGTTGAGCATAAATATATGTACACATATTAAAATCAAAAACTTATATACATTTCGAAATATTAAGAAATTTCGAAGCCAGCAAAAGAATTGTCACAAGTTAAGTTAATATACAAATATATGTACAAACTTCCGTAGTTTATATTAAAATAAAATCAGAAACGAGAAAAAAAAACATGAAGCGTAAAGAATACTCTTTACTTATTAAAAATATAGGTCACACTTTTGCCGTAAGACATGTTTACGATAAATTTTGAAATCGGACTACCCCATTCGTACAAATATAACGCATGTTTGTACAAATGATCATTTAAAATGTACACCAATAAATAAACCTATGGAAAATATTAGATATACGAATCGTATAATTAAGCACATGAAAATAATGAATATTCTTTAAATACTTCATTTGACAAGATCAAACTAGACAAAAGAATCATCACGGTCACCTTCCTGTAACAATGTGGAACAATGCAACGTTGATCCCAAAACACGCATTGGAAGGTGACAAAACGAATTTTATGATGATGTACTTACATAAATGTATATGGAGCTCTGTCTGAATTCTGATTTTGCAACGTGTCATCGACCCGCGACCGTTCCTCGCCGTCGTCTCGAGCTCTATCAGCTTCCACGCACTCTCCAATAGTTTCACGGGGCCATTGAGATCATAGTTCACAGATATTATAAATCTGCCTCTAGAGACTTCTTTGACTCATTACTCTGCATTACTCTGCTCTTATAAAAACGCGTGCTCTGATCGCGCGTTCACTTCACGGTCGCCGATCCGCCATAAAATATACGATTATTAAAGTAATCAATTAAAGGATTCAAAATGTAAGTACGTGGTATGGATCCTGTTATTACTTATTTAACTATATTTTGTTTTGTACTTAAATAAACACTTATTTGCATTATTGCATTTCAACTGAAATCTAAACTCAGGTGAATCGACTTAACGTCTGCTGGTTTGCCATCTTCACTCACAAGAAATTCAAGAGTTATCTACTATTATTCCTACATACGCGTCTTTGGGCTTCGTAATTTGCGTTCATTACCTTTTGGCGGGAAAGCGTACAACTATTTCATTTCTATTTGCGTTACCTTTTTCTCGTTATCTGAGAATCATATACGGATAACTATGCGATCATATTATATTGTTTTTTTTTTATGTGAGAAGATGACATACGAGCTGGGGGTTCATCTGATGTTAAGTGATAACCACAACCAATGGCCCTTTGCAACAACAGTAGGGGTTGCAGATGTGTTGGCGCCATTTAATATAGTAGGCCACGGTTACAATACCAGACGAAACGCAAAAGTGTAGCACTACCACTTCACAACGGTATTTTGTGAAGTCGCAGTACTTCCTGGGACGGACCTGCCCATTCATATATAAAAGGTAGAGTATTTTAACGTTTGTACTTGCTTCTTTTGAATGGAAAGATGGCTAATCCACGGATAGAAATCAGAATCCGGATGAAATAAATAACATGTATGGTTAAGCAAAGTCTGCCTATGCCCTGGGGACAATTGAGATTCATTAGCTAAGAAACTATACATGGCTTTTTATCTTAGATGAGACATCTTGAGTTCCCTCATAATGAGGGCAATGCGGATCATATGGGAAGATATCTTGTTCATTCGCAAACAAATCCCGGGTGGGTATCGAACTCGACGCTAATCGCCCGCAACCCTGACACCACTGCCCCCTCACTATCTCGCTTGTTGTCAACACAAGAGGAAGTGTCACTCTGCTCTATGTGGATGTGTTGTGCACGTGTGCGTATGTACGTGTACGTGTGTCTCTTTAGGTGACAGACTGACGGTAGTCTTATTTTCCTTTTATTGTTATCACTAGTCAAGCGGACGTTATGACGACAGTCAACATAATGTTTGCCACGACGTCGTCACGACGATGTTCGTTTGTTGTTAATTTCCAGCTCCGTATTCTCCTTCCTGATGTAATACGTACCTATATTTCATTGATGGATATCTTATATCTTTTGCGATTATTTGACATTCTTTGTTCCATTTAATTATGCTATAAATCGTCGCAATAAACAATAACAGGAATATCATATTTACGTTTTCTCTGTCACCTTTAAACTGTATTAAACAAAATACGATAATATTGCTTTACGACAGTCCTTGAACGTTATATGCACTTTGAGCGAGCAATAATGAAAGTAATGAAAACCCGTACGAAACAAGCAACATGTTTGTAAACAAGATTGCTAGCTATCATAACAAAAGGCTGCCTTTTTATATGTTCGTAATCGACCTTACAAGAGCGTGAGCTTTGCCTGTGTTATTAACCACGCAATGAGTTAACTACAAGTAATACTGGCCATTACATTCAGTTTTGACGATCTGTTAGGAAGACTTTTAGACAACGACACGTTCTCGATTTCACTGACGATGAGGCAACCATCGCCATCGACAGGATAAAGCAACTTCGGAAACACACAAGAACTCGCCGGCGAGTGCGGCAAACATATACGAGGTTTCGCCACCTACCCGGCAGATTTTCCCCCGTTAATGATAGAAGTGTTGCTGGAGATTCTTCCGCCACTTCTTTTCCCAGCGCCAACGCTTCCGAAGTGATAGCTTTAGGAATCCTCCTAAACAGAATACAGCTACCGATCTAGAGGTCCGGCCCTCTCAGGCACCTTCGAATCGGAATGCTAAACGAGTAACAGCCTAAGCCGAGGTCCCCTCTCGGAGGCCCTTTAGCCTAGTCACTCTATGGAGCGTCCGCCAAAGAGCTTATCGGCCTCCTAAACCGGTAATAATAATAATAATAGTGTGAAGGCCCGAGCCGAGGCTCCGTCTGGAGCCCTTGAGCTGAGTCACCTACAATCAATGAGCCCTCAGCGCCCGGCCACCTCAAGGCCGGTGGATCTGTAAAGGCATCCCAAGGCAAACAGTGGTTGATCCAGCCAAAAAAAAATAGGGATACTTATTCGACTGATAAAATAAGGATAGCGATGAGTTCATTGTATGTCTAAACAAAGGGAATTAATCCGGCAAAAAAATTTTTTAATTAAAGAAATACGTTCATTTGTTATACTATGTTACTACTACAGTGTTTTATCTTTACTTTACTCCCAATTCCTTATCTTTAACCTATAAGCTGAGTGAACGAGAATTCTGTAAAATTTCTTAAATTTCTTTATTTTTAAAGGCTTAACTTGAAGTTCAAACTGATTTTTTTATGAAAAATAGTTTTTTTTTACTTTATTGTACACAATTATAATACAGACAATCGTTATACAGACGATAGTTTTATATATATCGTATGCAAGTGGACTTTTAAAATGCCATTGCATTTTTTAAAATGTGGAGCTCTATTTGCTTAATTGCTCTCTATGCTTTATTGATAAATAAACATAAGTCTTTTTAATTATTTACATTATAGCTATCCCAGGTCCGACTTTTTCCGCCCAATAAATTCGGTGAAATAAACAGACTCGCCTGTGGATGCCTCCTGCTTACGCCGTAATTATTAATTTAGCTCGATGATTCGAAGAGGCATTTAGACAAGGTACTTAAAATTTCTATCAAAACTTCATCTTTGGTATAGCTATAGCCAATGGTTGAGTATCAGTTTCAGTTACACTCAATTTTTATTTATTTTGGTATACATTATATGTTTAATATGTAATTTAGATAGATTTAATGTTGTAAATATTAAATATGTTAAAGATTTCTTAACTTCAACTTTATTTGACATATCTACATAATATGTAGTTATTTACCAAATATTTAACCAGACTTTAATTCTGAAAAATCTTATGTTTGTCCTTTTCAAGTAATAATACTTCAAAACTTTATATAGCTTTACTAGTACATACGTAATTTTACAACAATTATTATAGAAAGGAAATGTTATGGCAATTAATTTTTTATTTATTTGCAAAGTTTGCAATTTAATTATCAATTCTTATTAAGCTAGACTAATTTACCAATAAGTTGATGGTGGAATTGATATAAGAAATTTTGAAATTCAACAAGCTTGTATTAGCCTTTGTTTTTTTTTCTTATATAGTGTAAATATACAATAATGTAATAATTATTTTAATAATATCTATAATAGAATTGAAGGTCAAAAGAGACCGTAAAGGTGCCTTGATTACATTGACAATATACTTGTGTTGTGTTAAGAGTAGGTACTGATAGCCGTGGTCGGAATCCCATTAAAGAACCGTCATTTAGACTTCACTACACGGAAAAAGCTTACGCATTGCTGAAGCATTCCTCCATATTACAAGCACCGACCTGTTAAACACAATGTCCTCGAGGGTTCAATATATACAAATATTCTGTCTTCTTGTTGTAAGGTCTGGCAGTCGCCTTTTTCTATGCTGATGAATTTCGGGTAACTTTATTTGCATCCCGATAGAACACGGCCGCTTTTTCGAATATCCATTGAACCAATGTTGCTGTTTGACTTCAACAAGGAATGAACGTTGGAATGAAGATTAATTAGTTGGTATTTCCCAAATTGGCACTACAATATATATTGATATTGTAGTGCCAATGTATGTTCGCGATAAACTCCGAAACTACTGAATGTATATCAAATTTTGTAAGCATTTGTAATTTGGGAACTCAAACTTGGGAATTAGGGTAGTTTTTATCTCAATTATTGATCTCAATATTTTTATTGCAAATTATTTGTTTATTAGATGACAAAGAGCTATCCGTGAGTCCCATAAGATTCTAACAGATGGCGGTGTAAGATAAATTTATCGGCTGGATTGAGTAATAAGATAGACAGCGCAATAAACTAGACCGACTTCTGAATAACTGCATTCGCTTCATTTTCAATCTTCGTAAGTATGACCACGTGTCTATCTATCGTTCTCAACTTCAATGGTTACCTATTCGCCAACGCCGCTCCTTAAGGGCACTGACCACTCTGTATTATTTTCTTAATTCTTCTTCTACTCCTTCTTACTTATCTCCACACTTTAAAAATCTTTGCTCAACGAATAATCATCTTCTCCAGTGTCCTTCTCATCGTTCTGGTTTTATGCTCTCATCTTTCTTCGTCAAATCTATTCTTCTGTGGAATGCGCTGCCTCTCGAAATCAGGACGGCTAAGAGTCTCTCTGCATTTAAAAGAAAAACTCGCGAATACCTGCTTAAAAAATTGTCGACAGATTCACAGGATCGTTACTCATATAAGTATGTATATTATTTATGTATATATTTATTTATATAAGTATTTTGTATTTAAATACCTTTACTTTTCTATATGTACATAATCATTGCAATATATACCATATACCAATATACCCAGTATAGTATTTTATGTAATATCGCTTATAAATTTGTCTTGCTTTTTTTTTCAATAATCTTTTTTTTTCTTATAATCAATGCACCTACTTAAACTTCTCTGGACCACCCAAAGGTTGACTGGTAGATAATGCTGATGGCATTCAGTCCGCCTCTGTACATATTTTGTGTGCATAAAGTATAAATAAATAAATAAAAATAAAATAGCGGTAAGGACCCGGTAGAATAGGAAGTTGAGCGGGCCAGCTAGTTATAATATAATATACATTTCCATGCGATGAAATCATACATAGACCGCCCAAGAATGGTTACTCGTGTCAGATTCGTGTCATATAATCTTTACGCATTTATTAGGTCAATATAAATAAATATTACGTTACAAACATTTAGACATTTCTGGTTAAGTAACCGAGCGAAGGAGTTTAGATGTAACCGCGCTCTCCGCTTTCTTCTCAAGACGTTGGCGTTACATGATTGCGCCACTAACATGTAAAATAAGTATCTATGTAAAAAAGGGTAATGCTACTTTAAAACTTAAATTAACAGACATTCAATTACACGAAAAGAATCGTTCAGATATACAGGTAAATAAAGTTAAGTTTTGAGGTAAAACTTGTGCAATTTCTTTTTAATTCTTTGAGATTTTTAGAAATTTACAGTTTGCACGTGAGCCGGTATACTTAAATTAAAAAGGCTATTCAGCGAAGAAATGCATATATATAGCGTGGTCTAGGCACCCTGTAGCGTGGGCTAGTTTTATTGCATTATATAATATACAATGAACAGTTAAAAGACTAAACGGCAGGCGCATGGCGCGCGTGTGCGTGGTGGGCGCGGGCGCGGCGGGCGTGTGCGCGGCGCGGCACCTGCTGGCCGAGCCGAGCGTGGCGCGCGTGGAGCTGCTGGAGCAGGCGGCGCAGCTGGGCGGCACGTGGGTCTACACCGACCACGTGGGCTACGACGACTTCGGCCTGCCCATACACACCAGCATGTACAAGAGCCTCAGGTGGGTGCCCCGTGCTCGTAAGGTACATATCTCAAACAACTGTGATAAACTTGTTCATAATTTACATTAATAGTGTCCCACTTACAAAGTTCTTATGAACATATCGTACATTAGGCATTTGCAATGAGATAAACCTCGAGATAAAGTCAATCGCCACCCAATAAAGAATGGGAACTATTTCTGACCGCTTAAGATTGTGATTTATCTTGCCACGAGTCCATTTCTTTTCATATAATTTCAAACTCTGCTAAGTGTCTGATAATAAATGGCGATATCTTTAATTTGTTAAAGTTATGATTGTTTAAAGATGTCATAAGGTTCATTGACTTTAAGTTTAGTCTTAAATGTAGAAACTAGTACAAAAATATTATAAAAGATTTAATACATTTAAAGCAATTTATACACTCCATAGTTATATTCAATTCCCATATAGGTTGTACCTTTAATTATGACCGTGGAGCACATAGGAAAAACTTGTCATGAAGGCGGAAGACACTACCTACGAATAATGTTTATATTGAACATTCACTTAACCAACCACGATTACTCGGCCTATACAAATAAGTAAATAGCAGTGCCGCATTGCAATTGACTCGAAAATAAACTGATTATATTAATTAGAGAAACATGTAAAAGGTAAATTATACAACGTGACTGCGGTCTTTTATCGCAGTTTCACCTCGTAGTTATTTTATATATGATCTTGAAAAATTACGAAAAAATTGGAGTGGATTGAATGGACAATAATAAACATAGTTTTCCTATAAAACAATCTATTGTTTTATAGAATTATGAAATGTATAATTTACGTTTATTCTATCATATGCGATGTATGGCGATGTATTGCAGCTGGCCAAAGGCCCTGCATAAGCGAGTCTCGGGGCCGTGTCCCCATTACTCGGGCGTAGTCTCGACCAGCAAAGGCTGGTCGGTGGTGAGGATGGCCATCGGCCATCCCTTTCCCTGACCGCGGTAGCGGCACTGGCGGGTGTACAGCGGTACACGCGGTGTAACGCGTGGACGACATCGTTTTCTCAGCGGCGGAAGTGCGGTCGGGTCCGGCTCCCCAGTGGCCTCCGACCGCAGTAGCTCTCGTGGGAGCGGGCGCCCGTCAGGAGGACGGGCGTGGAGGGGTGCGATATTCTGCAGGTGTGGATGTGGCCCGTTGTCGGCCCTGTCGTACATGCGACGGGCCGTCCGGACCACAAACTCCTCGATGGATTCCATCCTCAGGTCACGAGCTATTACGTCATTCCTGACGTAACGTCCGGCCCCCACGATCACTCGAAGGGCGAGGTTCTGCTGCGCCTGGAGCCTGCGCCTTTGCGAGGCGGAGACCAGACCGTACCACGCCGGAGCGGCGTAGGTCAAGCGCGAACGGACGTACGTTTTGTAAACGCCGATCTTGGTCTTAATAGGTAGCCAGGATAGGGTATAGCATGGCTCGAGCTGCTCTGGCTTGTCGGACGGCGTGTCCGACCTGGGGAGGCATGCACAGCGAGCGGTCTATCCGGCATCCAAGGTACCTAATAGTGTTCGTGTTGGTAATCGCTTGACCTCGCAGCTCAAGCGTGGGTTGGTGTTTAATGCGGCGGATGTATATGGCGGACGTCTTGTCAACGTTGACAAACATTCGCCATTTGTGCAGCCACTCGGGCAGCAGGTCCAATTGGCGCTGCATTTTCCTCGCCGCACTGTCGTCCGCGTACAGGGCCAACAGTACGTCTTCATCCCAGTCGGAGGCGTTTTGCTTCAAGGTGGGAATGTCGTCCGTGTACACCGCATACAGGTGTGGCGACAGACAACTACCTTGTGGTACACCGGCTTTGATACATCGTACCGCCGAGTCGGCTCCCTCGACGTGTACGACGAACTTCCGGTCCCGGAGAAACGACGCTACTAACCGCACGAGCGCGCGGTGGGAGGTGGTATTCTCCAACAGCTTATGCAGTAGGCCCTCGTGCCACACTCTGTCGAAGGCCTTCTCCATGTCGAGAAGGACCCCCAGACAGATGCGGCCCTTGTATCATATGCGAAAGCGCATTAATTGACTTATTAAATTTAAGGAGATAGCACAAAATGAAAAATTAGTAAAGTTTTTTTTTTGTTATTTTAATACCATAATAACATAATCCACTTTGACCGAGGGAAACTGACTTTTTTCGCAATCAAAAACAGTAATTTATGACGTTTCCTTATTTTTTTATATAAATTAGGTACATATTTGCAATAAAATCTATAGCTTTTCTCAATCTGCTGTCAATGAGAGCCTAAATTAGTGAATGAAAAATTTCAGGACGAACTTGCCGAAGGAGATCATGGGCTTTCCGGACTTTCCGATACCCGAGAGCGAGAAATCGTACCTGCCCGCCAAAGACATGCTCGCCTTCCTACAGCTGTACTCCGATAAACACGGCGTTACGCCGCACATTAAAGTGAGTGCTCCTTACAACTAATTGGCAGAACTGTTGTAAAACCTACACTTATTCTCGCTCATATGCTATGTATACAGTGAACAGTGAGTAGAACAATATTCTTCAGCGCTATTCCATTTCCAGTTTAAGCATCACGTCCAGCTGGTAAAGCCGAAGCAGGGCCCCAAGGGCGAGCTGTGGGACGTGACCTTCAAGGACCTCGCCTCCGGTGTCTCCGAGACCAGAGAGTACGACTACGTGTTCGTATGCAATGGCCACTACAGCACGCCTTTCATCCCGAACATTCCAGGCCTTAAAGAATTTCAGGGTGAGCGAACTGCTGACGCATACAATGCCACTTATATATTTTCGTTTCGAAGTAAAGGGAATTTTATGTATCATTTACCCCCTTATGTGTTTCTCATCTCGGAAATGCTCGGAAATGCACTGGAGTAAGTGTGAATAACTGCGCAGGCGAGGTGATGCACAGCCACGACTACCGCGTGCCGGAGGTGTTCTCGGGCAAGCGCGTGCTGGTGGTGGGCGCGGGCCCGTCGGGCATGGACATCGCGCTGGAGGTGGCGCGCGTGGCGCAGGCGGTGCTGCTCAGCCACCACCTGAGCGAGAGGCCGCGCTCCCGCTTCCCGCACAACCTGGCGCAGAAGCCCGACGTGGCGCGGCTCGAGGCGCGCTCCGCCCACTTCAAGGACGGCACGGTGGAGGACGTCGACGTGGTGTTCCTCTGCACGGGTGGGTCGGCCATGCTGCTGTTCTTCTGGTCCCCGAATCCCCAATTCGTTCACATTGTGCACAGTTTGCATATAGGTAATGTCGTTCCAAATCGGACAGGCTACCTGTACAACTTCCCCTTCTGCACGAGAGCTGCGGCATCGTGGTGCAGGAGAACTGCGTGGAGCCCCTCTACAAGCACTTGGTGAACATCCACCACCCCACCATGTGCCTGGTCGGGGTGCCATACTACGTATGCGCCTTCTCCATGTTCGACTTGCAGGTAGACGCTTTTTAATAATTTAAGCTAGTCGTGCTTAAAATTATTGTCCTGGAACGGGCAAAAGCCTTTCCGACGGAGGAGGCAAACTATAAAAAGCAAAGTGTCCCCTTCTGCAGGTGCGGTACTACGTGCGCTCGATGAACGGCACTTTCCAGCTGCCGAGCAGCGAGCAGATGATGCTGCACTGGCAGCGCGAGATGGCGGAGAGGGCGGCGCGGGGCTACACGCGCCGCCAGGCGCACATGATGGGCCCCGACCAGGTAAGCCGCGCCACAAGCACACGTGCTCCTAGCGTCGTTGTTCAACCTCACCGAACAAAGCCTATCTCTGCCATCGGCTAGGCTTGTACGTGTTGCCCTGTAGCCATCCCAGCTAGAGGGCAGCACGTGGCGATGGCAGGGTAGGTCGGTGAGCTGGTGCCCCGGCGGGCAGGGCGCGTACTACGCGGCGTTGGCCCGCGAGAGCGCGGCGGCGCCGCTGCCGCCCGTGCTGGCGCGCCTGCACGGCCACAGCAGCCGCCGCTTCCTGCACCACCTCGCGCAGTTCCGCGCCGACCGCTACCGCATCCTCGACGCGGACTCCTTCGTCTGCCACCAGATCTCCGACTAGTACATAGCCTGTCGCTCGATATACTCCTACCCATATTTACTCGTATGCCCATAGGAAATACTCTTTTAATTTAGATACTATTTCATATTCAATAGTATATTATCATTACCATGTACGGATATAATCATCTAAACCTAACCTAGAAAATGGCCAACAAATGTAACTGCAGTGACGGCATTCATCTGTATGTTTTTTTCTTATTGATTTTGAATTTCTCTTTCTACATCTGTTAATGTTCAAATGTGTTAATGTTAAACGTTTTGTACATTTTGTATAGTCATATACTCCAATAAAAGTCTCTCCACTTTTAATTTTATTCATTTTGTCTTAATATCTAAGCCATCTTAACAAATTGATATTTTCTTTCACCGTTGAACACGTGATAAATGAACACATAAAATTAACAATTTCATTGGTAACCGCAGCGAGGATCGAACTCAGGCTCCTCGGGTACAAGCAATTAAAAGCGAGCGCTCGGCCAATGAGCCGTTGAAAAAAACTGAGAAATAATCACCGAAAAAAATATTTCAAACAGATCGCGTGGTCTATGCCCTAAAAGACCACGTGACTGGTGGACTATGCCCTAATACCCTCTATATAGAAGAGGCCTTTGCTCAGCAGTGGAACTTTATAGGTGGTTACATCATTTTTAACAAATCATGATACCATGGTTAAGAAGCTTGATAGATCGAATTAATATATCACCCGAAATTACCATATGAAATCACCATATTTAATCAAAGTGTATACAGATTAAAGAAATAGAATTTTCCACTTATTCAATGTTTTATAACAACGTGAAATACCTACTTTTTCGTGACAGATTCGTTTAATTCTATTACATTTAATCAGTATGCCTTTGGTTTTTGCATTCAAACATGATAACCTCCATTTTTTGTTAAATCCTTCCATCTCCTAAAAAACGGTTATGTTCTAAATGCTTGGTGGATGTGTACGATTGTCGTGAGTTAATAAAAAGAAAAAACAGCATCGGATACTTATTGTTATGCGGAACTTCTCAATCCCTTAATGCCGAGGTCAACTTGTCACCTATACTGGCTTCTTAACGATCCTACGATGGTATCGGGAAGCATTTTTATACATCACAAATTACGATATTTTTATTTTTGTCAATTATTGTAAAAAAATATATTTTGCAATTATACACTGTGCATTATGAATATTTATTACTTATTTAGTAGGTATTTTAATTACTTATAACTATGTGAATGTTCTTACGAATTGAATTTCTCTTTTTGACTACTAATCGTTACGTTGTAACTCCATTAAGTTGAGTTTACGCACTGAATAGAAGTATTTTTAATATTTCTTAAGTTATTGCAGAGAGACATCGAGAAAGTCCCTTCGACACAAAGTTGGCTTGACTTTTTGTCTAACACCAATGCTACTAAACGGTAATGAGGAGATCGATTAATTAAAGAGGAAACAGCACATTCACTTCAAGGCCAAAGAGAATGTGTTCCGTAGACCTCGCTAGCCGCTTGCGCCTTGCGCCACATGCGAATGTGACGAGTGAGGCAGCGCGCATCTCGATTCGGCAGGAGCGCTACTACGCGTCGCTGGCCTCCGAGGCGAACACCAAGAGCCTGCCCCCGGTGCTCACCAAGATCCGCGAGGAGAGCTCCGTGCGCTTCCTGCACAATTTGCAGCACTACCGCCAGGACGTGTACAAGATCATCGACGACGACACCTACGAGGTCATCAGCGACGGCAGGAGGCAGCTGCTCTGCTGACCGCCCGCCGCCTACTTACAGCGGAACTCAGGGTGCTTTAGTTTAAATCTAACATTTAAGGTATGTGTAAATTATCTTTCAAATACAATGATATTTAATTGATTGTTTTACTTTCATTTTTGACTCCAGTACCTATTAGCTACATTATTAAGGCGGAAGTTTGTTTGTAGATTTTTATTGCCACTCGTATAGTTCATGGTACCGAAAATGATATACCTAGACAATTTTTTTTCCGGTGAAAAGCCAAGTCCTGTGGGATAGATCTGAAACGTAATTCTGAAGTGACCTACTCGTGTTAAATCACAACTGAAAGGATTTTTTAGAAAATTTATTAAACAAAAACACGTGAAGTGGTTTTGTATTTATTGGCGGCGATGAGATGGCCGACACTCACAGAATATTTAATTTTATTCCTGAAAATACATCGTGATATAAGAGCTAACAGTAACCGAAACTATCAAATATTCAAAAAATCGTAAGCGAATCAAATATATAAGCTTCTAATATTTTCGAATAGATGCGGAGTCTAAATAAGTAAAGCTTAGAAAGGTATTCGTAGGGCCGAACGAACGCACTCGGCGCGTCACTTGATGTGTTTAGTCAATTTAAAAAAAATGTTGAGTAAACGTGACATTCACATTCTATGTTTCACATTGAGCGCAGTCTGTGGGGGTCTGTGAGGCCTATGTTCAGCAGAGGGCTCAAACAGGCTGAAATGATGATTATGACGATTGAGTGCAGAGACTCGCACAATAATATTGATTGTCTAATATAACACGGAAGTATTTAATTTTTTTAGAATGCCTACGCAAGTGATACGAAGTTTGATGATCCGATAACAGGTTACAGGAGTGAGGCCTTAGTGATCTTGAAGTGTATCTTGAATAAACACTAGAGTTGTTTTGTAAGTTCAGTTGGCACAGATCATTTATATAAATCAAGAAAAAATTTGGTTTAAAGATGCTGCCCCGAGGAACACCATATTTGACGACGGCACCTGAACTCAATTAATTTTCCTATTTTAACACTCAGAACCTGGTCACAAAGGAATTCCTTAGAAATGGAATATATTAAAACATTAAAACATCCATTAAATATATTGTACAACGTGCACCTACTCCTTCCCACTTATCGAGTAGGATTGGTATCGACACTGTATCAGTCAAGTCTATGAAGACGCCAATACACTTACGTTTATTGGTGTGTTTTGTTTTAATTTAGAGTACTTGTACACTTACATCATTTTCGGTACATTTTTAATCCATATCATATGATCTCGGCGTTCCGAGAAATTAATTATTGTGTATCTAACACCTTTCCAAGATTTTGGATAGTGCAGGTAGGACAGAAATAGGTTGGTAATTATTTACTATATTGAATAATTTCCGCCACCGCATCACATATGTTGAAATTGAGGGGGAGATAGTGCGCATATATCGTACAAGTTCATATAAGTCATTCTATTTGGCACTAAACTCTTGGAAGTTTATTTCATGGATGGTAAACAACTTGACGTAAAGCATCGTGCTCGGTCACGGAACAGTCGAGAGAATGTGTCGTGTCTACATTTGAAAGTATGTTGAACAATCGCCATATTTTAATGAATACATTTGAAGTCGCAATAGACTAGTTACCTCAAGAATATTATTGAATAGTAAATCATGCCATGAGGACTCCGTATATTTGTTTAGGAGAAACACTTTTTTAACCTTAAAGACAAATAAATTGAAAACAAATCATCAGCCCCGGATCTTCAAGCCGGGGCCCATGCCCCGGGCGGCAAGTTCAGAGGGCGGCAAACTCACATTTTACAGACGAATGAACAACTCATAATTTACTCAAATTTTCCTTAACAACTCGACCGATCGACCGATCGACCCAGAGCGCCGAGTGAGACGTGCTGCACGAACGTTTTTACTCGCGAGTTACAACAGATCTATGCTCATGATTTGCAAGATGCTTTTCCTAATATGTAAGGACGCTGTGAGCGAAGTTTTAGCAAACTAAAACTAATTAAAAATTATTTGCTATCTTCTATGAGCCAGCAAGGTATATCGAGTCTTGCAATCTTAGCGATAGAAAATTGAATTGCACACGAGTTAAATTATGCCAAGGTCATAGATTTATTTGCCGAACAATAAGAACGAAGAATAAAATTGTAATTTCAATTCACAAATGCAATAATATATTTGATTTTCATTTTTATTATGCATATTTTTATTTTTAATCCTATCCTGTGCTGTGTATAAAATATAATTATATCCTACACGTTTATGTCTATACATATATCTGTAAATAAGTTGGCGTAATACACACGCAAAAAAGAAAACAGAAACGCTTATAGTTTGAAATAAATAAATAATAACTTAACTGGGACTTCGAACGCCAAAATGGAAAAATTTCATTGTCACATAGTATATTTTACATTTCTGTAAAATAGTTTTAAAATTTAAGATTAAACGAGTTCTAGAGTTTAAACCATCAGATTTACAGAATTTGTCAACTTTATTTGAAACTGTAATTTTTCCCCTTTCGCGTATTTCAAACTATAAATGTTTCTGTTTCCTTTTTTCCGTTCAAAAAAAGCAACAAATTTCTGGAAGGCTTATGTAGGCTTTCTTCAAATGTCAATCAATTAGTGGACATCTCATAGCTGAAATTATACAGGGAGGCTTTTCTAAGTGTATCCATTTTTTATTAAATTCTAGAATAAAAAATGATAAATATTTATAAAATCACTCGTAATTAATTAAATACATTCATTTGAACTTATCTCAAAACTAATGGCAACACATTTATTTTACGCGCGATCATTCATAACTAACACGCACACAAGTTCGTTTCAAAAGTATACGACGCATTTATGAATGACTACCGCATTGTCAACAAGTTCTGTTTTTTAGAGATTTTTTTGAAAAAAAGTTTGCTTTTATTATAATATTTTATTAATAAACGATTATACTACAGAATCTAAACGTCCTGTGTGAATTTGGGCATCTTTAAAAAAGCCACCCTGTATAGATGATAAAGGCAAAAAAAAGGTAAATAAATATAAGTGAGCGGCATTTCTCAGTTTTTGCCCCACCCAAAAAAAATTGAAAATCTGGGGCAGCAAATCAATGGCAAAAACAAGGTATGGGATTTGAAAAGCTTCAAAAATTAGACATAAGTGATTTAAATGTTGAAATAAAATGTTATAAGAAAGCTATAGAGAGAAAGAGAGAGAGAAAGAAAGGCTATAGAGGCAAACTCTCCAAGTCCACGACTACGAAATAGTGCGGATGTCTATCGGCATAGAGGCCAACTGCAAATGAAATATAATATGACGAGATCAACGATGCGATCGATCGTCAAAAAATGTGATTTATGAATCAAAATCACGCATTAACTCAGACATGTTTAAAAGTGATGAAATGAAACGCCACCATCCAGCCAAAAATATTTTATTTAAGCGTATTTATAATATTTATATTATTAATGCTCGATATATTATTAATCTGTAAATCTAATAATAATGTTTATGGCTTTCCCTTCGATTTGACGCGACATTTCTGTAAGGCGATCCACAAGAGCCATCGGATCATCCAATCGCGTACGATTAACAACATGTTTTGTACTCATAGTCGTTTCGCATCAGATATATTTTCAAAATAAAATCCTACTTTAGTAATAACATTGTTACTTTATAAAAATACCACTCTCAACATGAAAAGGGGCTCACGCTCAACTCGTCAAGGAGAGAAGGGCGCGTCGGGCGCGTCGGGCGCGTCGGGCGCGTCGGGCGCGTCGGGCGCGTCGGGCGCGTCGGGCGCGGCGGGCGCCAGCGGCACGTCGGGCCGCAGGGCGAGCGCGCGCCGCGCCGGCTCGTAGCGGCCCGCCAGGTAGTAGAGGTCGTCGGCGTCGGCGGCGGCGGCCAGGCGCGCGCGGTACTCGTGCAGCGGCAGCACCTCGCAGCGGTGCGAGATGGTCTGCACGTCGTTCTCGTCCGTGTGCGGCGACTCGAAGAGGCCGCGCGCCAGCTGCAGCGCGCCGCGCCAGCCCGCCGCCTCCTCGGGGTGGTAGAACCACTGCACGCGCACCGCCATGGCGCCGCGCGCCTCCCACAGCGCGCAGATGCGCCCGATGTAGGGCCGGTCGGCGCGCCCCGTCGACAGGAACACGGCCGCCTCGCCCACCTGCGCAGCCAATCCCGAGCTCGCACCGCACCGGCCACCGGCCGCTAACTAACCGACGGACGCTCATTTGTCCCACAGGCTTCTTCCGACGTCCGAAACTTCGCGCCTTAACAAGTGCTAAGCCATACGGCAATTTCATAGTTTTTTATTTAGAAATACCGCAATCTGGAATATCGTATATAGCAACTCTGTTAAACTTGATATTATAGCACGGGTGGCACCCCTAACTGTACTCAAACCAGGGTTAGATTTTGTACTATAATTGTACTATTTAAAAATGTAATTACATTACTTTACATAAATGACCAATATAAATGCTAATCGAACATTAAAGAAATTCATTGGGTTGTAATGTTTTTAAACAATACAAAGTGGATGTCACCACGTTTCAATGTCATTGTCAATTATTACCGCGGAATAAAAATATTCTTTGTCCTGGTCTATTTACAGGGACTTCCCGTTAACTAATATATTTTTTTCTTTCGATACTTAGCTTGTTGACTGTTGCTTCTCAATACATTTTCGAAAATGTTTTGTATGTCCATAAAAATAAGATAAAAATAAGGGTAAATTTTCAAGACATAATAATGTAATGTACATAAAAAGACATGATATAAATACTAGGAACAAAAATAAATTCATCTTACCCACAAGTAAACTGCGCAAAATAAGTAAATCTTTTATGGGACATTTTTCCCTAACGCGCCAAAAGAAGTATAACTTCAAAAAGATTACATGAATGAAAGTAATATTGAAGCACTGATAAACTTAGAAGAGAAGTAAATTAATGACTTAAAATCACAATCCTTTTATATATACTAACCTTTTATATTGTTTATACTATGTTTTTCATCGTACCTAATACCTAAATCCAACCCTGACACAAACGTCATGGTCACGAAAGTCGCACGTCACTTGTCAAGTCGTCAGACTCCGAGCGTAAGTGTATAGGGATGCCCAAAGTCGAAAATAATATCGATATATCGGTAAAATTTTCAGTTTTAAAAAAAAATATATATTTATATTTATTCAATAATAAGTTATAGTAATTTATCTAACAAATTCAATGTATTTAAATGAATGAGAAATTGTAATAAAACGTTAATTATTTATAAATTTTAATCAAATTTCTTTTATTAACCTAAATTTCTATGTATGTTATTTATCAAGACCTTCATTGGAAAAACAGCTTATTTAGTAAGATAAATCAGCTTCTTTAGCACTGAATCAAAAAAAAACATATTTATTGAGAATTTGATATCATTTTTGATACGATTTCGATATTAAATTTTTTATATCGATATATCGGATGAAAATATATCGGCCAAAATTATTCGCCAACCCTAAGCGTATCCGTGTTTTTTTCGGTGTAAGTAACGTTTTGCCGCGCGTTCGAATGGCTTGACATTTGCATGTCCCCGTCGTAACTTGGTGTGTTAGATGTTCTAGCTATACCAAAATAAAACAGACGTACGTATAGCTGGTAGTGATATTGAGATTGGATACAGCTTGATAAAGCTTTATCAAACAAAACTGTCTTATCAATGTCAGTAGGAATACTACTGGGGTATTCCACATAAAGCGCATAGATAATTTCTTTTCATACATTCAACTAATTCTTGCAGCAGACTAATGTGAAATTTCAAAAACTTCCAACAGAATTATTTGTTAGAAATATGCAATAAAGTTAAAAAAATTTGAAAAAAGAAAATTTATAAAAATTTTCTTCTTTTATATACAACTATTGCAATGTATATCAATCATTTAACTAATGATTAGTTTAAGACTATAAAATTATATTTATTTATTTATTTAAGACATAGTAGGTTTACTACGTCTATACAAATCTTTGATGACTGACAGCAAATACCAAGCCTTGAATTATTGTAATATTATAGAGATGAGCATGCAAGTGCTGAAGCTAAATATTATAGGTGACATATAGAAGACTAATAGACCTATAGAGGGTGAAATTGAAGTCGTGAGCATCCCTTAAAAGTAAGAGCCTTTACACGATACCAGCTACATTGAGGGCCGTTCGGCCAAGTGGCCGGCTGTCCGGCAGACTCACGTGCAGCGTCTCGTCGCCGCGCGTGATGGCGCGGAAGAAGAGCTTGCGCTGGCGCGCGCGCGCCGAGCGGCGGTAGGGCGCGCCGCGCCAGCGCCACAGCGCGCCGCCCGGCAGGAAGGCCGCCATCTTGCTCACGCCCTCCGGCGCCTTCTGCGGGCAGCCGAGCCGTGAGCGAGCCCCACTGGGACGGCCACAACGCGGGCGCTGAGCCACTACCTTCTTGGGCGCCTCCGCGACCTCCTCGCTCGCGCCCTTCGGAGGGACCTTCCCGCCGTCGCCCGACTCCGGGACGGCGCTCACGAGAGCGAGCGGCGAGTCGTCCACGCCCTTGGCGGACTCCCCGTCGGCGGAGCCCGAGCGGCCGGGCTGCTCCTCGCCGGAGGAGCTGCACGGCTCCCTGCAGCCGGAGTGGTGCCGCTTCTTGCGCTTGCGGTGGTGCTTCTTGTGGTGCTTGCGGTGTTTGCAGTGCTCCTCGCAGCACTTGTGCTTCTTCTTCTTCCTCTTCACGTGGTCCGCGGCGACGAGCTCCTCCGCGCTGGAGCGGCGCCTGAGCTTGTCCTTGCGGTGCTTCTTGAGCCTCTTGCGCTCCCTGTGGCGGTCGGGCTCCTCGGACTGCTCGGGCTCCTCGGGCCGCTCGGGCTCCATGGGCTCGCCGCCGGCGGCCGGCTTCTTCTCGTCCGCGGCGCTGGCGTGACGCCGCCGCTTGCCGAGCGTGAACAGCGTGTTCTCGTACTCTGCAAGGCGCGGGGCGGGGGCGTTAGTGGGGCGCGGGTGGGGCGGGGCGGGGCGGGGCGGAAAAGGCACTCACCGACGACGGGGTAGTCGGGCTCCAGCAGGCGGATGTCCTCGAGCGCGATGCGGCCCGAGTCGCCGTCGTCGAACTCGACGGCCACGAAGGGGTCGGGCTCAGCGCCGGGCGCGGGCGAGGAGGGCGCCACGGTGCCGGGGTAGAGGCAGCGGTACTGCTGCGACCAGTAGGCGCAGACGCGCGTGCCCGGCGCCAGCTCGGCCGCGGAGGCCGGACTCACCTCCAGGATCTGCGCCGAGAGAAACACACGTCGGACCGCGGCACGCGCAGGGCAACACCTGAAGGGCGCCACTGACCGCGTCGCGCAGCGTCTCCTCGCGCGAGAGGATGTGCGGCTTGTTGCCGCGCTCTCCGTCGAGCGTGACGGCGTACACGTCGGGCGCGCGCACGGCGCTGAGCCGGCCGGCGTAGAAGAGCCCGCCCATGGCCGTGAGCACGCGCGGCGCCGCGCCCAGCCGCTCCTCCGTCAGCGTGCAGCGCGAGCGCCGCGCCGGCTCCGGCTCAGCCCGCTCGTCTCTCGAGTGCTTCCGCGCCAGGCGGTCCACCCTCTCCCTGTTCCTCTGGCGGACCTCGTTGAGGCTCTCCATCGACGAGCTGGCCGACCTGTCGAGCCCGCCCTCGTTCTCCTCCTCCTCGGAGTGCACTTTGAGTATCGGTTCGGCCTTCAACTTCGGCCGGACCTTGCTGGTCCGATTCGCCTCCTCCCTGGACGGCTCTCCCCTGGTGCACAGGATGCCGCCTTTCAGCTTGCCCTTCGCCAACAGGTATCCGACCAGGCTGCTCTTCGACTTGGGCTTCTTGGCGACTATAGTCTCGGTCGAGTCCGGGCTGGAGACCTTCCGCGGCCTGCCCACTTTGCGCTTCTTGGACGAGCCCCTGTCGGAGTCGGGCGAGAGGGCGGCGGCGGGGGGCGTGGGCGGCGCGGCGGGCGCGGGCGGCGGCGGCGTGAGCGCGCTCAGCTGCGCTCGCTTCTCGTCGCACTGCCGCTGCAGCTCCTGCAGCCGCTCGCGCATGTCCTTCTCCATGGCGCTGACGAGCGCCTGCGCCGAGGGCACGGCCGCATGCGCGCACCCCGCCGCCCCCGCCCCCGCCCCCCCCCTCCGCACGCACAGCCCGTCACGCGCCTCAGGCTGGCCTCGAGCTCGCCCCCGCTCGCCGCGCCCTCTCCCGTCCCTGTCCCGCTTGTGGCGGCGCATCTTCTCCAACTTGTGCCTCAGCCTCTCCTCCCTGTCGTGACTGCGCTTCCGCCTCCTCTCGTTCGACGAATCGTCTCTGCGCCTGTGTTTGTCCTTCTTCGTCGATTCCGCGGACCGGGCCGACTCGGGCGGACTCAACAGCGGCTCGGCTTTAACGAACGGCCTCGCCGACAGCGAGGCGGCCGACGGTGGACTTTCCACCACCTCTTCCATGAACCTCTGCTCCGCTAACGCGCACAATATATCCAAGCCATCGAGCGAGGGCTTGGTGCGGTCCGGGTCGACGGGCTCCGTCGTCGGGAACTCGAAGCGCCCGCGGGGCTCCGCGTCCGCCCGCGGGGGCGATTTCGGCGAGGTCTTTATCATGATGCTCAATTTGGCCGGGGGCCTCGTGTCGACGGTCAGCGGCGTCGCATCTAGGTTGGGCGGGCCGGTGGTCGGCGTCGTCCTTTCGAACTGCTCGATGCTGTTCGAGAGGAGCTCCAGGCCGCTGAGGTCCACGAGCGGCGCCGGCGGCGGAGGGCCCGGCGAAGCCAGGCCGCCGTCGGCCGCGTGGGGCGCGTGGGGCGCGTCGTCGGCGCAGTGGGCCACGCCCACGCAGGCCACCTCGCGCTCGTCGTCGTCGGCGTGGTTGGGCGCGTCCTCGTCGTCATCCACGTGGTCCGTCTGGTTGGAGGCGTCGCGGTGGGCGGGCGCGTCGGGCGGCGGCGTGGGCGGCGCGGCCGGCGACGTGGCCTGGCTGCGGCACGCCTGCTCCGCGAGCTCGGGCTGGTAGTAGAGGTGCGTGAGCATCGGCTGCGGCGCGGGCTCCGGTGCGAAGGGCGCCTTCTCCTGCGGCGGCTCGGGCTCGATCTTGATGAGCGCGTGCGGCGCGAGCAGCGGCTGCATGGCGGGCTTTCGCTTGTCGGCGTGGGCGGTGTGGGCGGCGTGGGCGGCGTGGGGCGCGTGGGCGGGCGCGGGCGCCGGCGCCAGCGCCACGAGCCGCGTGGAGTGCGTGTGCGTGTGCTGCAGCGTGGCGGTGGAGGCGAGCAGCTCGCCGGGCAGCAGCTGCAGGTGGTGCGGCGGGTGGGGCGCGGGCGGCAGCAGCAGCGGCGCCGGCGGGTAGGGCACGCCGCCCCACACCACCGTGTGCGGCACCTCGGGCGGCGCAGGCAGCAGCAGCAGCGCGCCCGACGCGGGCTCGCGCACCAGCTGGTACCCGCCCACGGTGGACACGCCGCCGCCCACGGACCCCACGCCGCCCACCATCATGCTCTCCATCGACACTTGCGCTGAAATGTCGAGCGACTCCAAATGTCATCACAACCAAAGGAGATATGATACGTACCTATGTATGTATGTATGCCGTATAGGTCATTAAATAGCCCTAGAAACGATTGAAAACAATTTTTACGGCAGTACAAAAGGTCTCATCCATTACAGTGACTACGTACGACGTAATAGGTTCGAGCGGTCGCTTTTAATTCAATATATTAGAGTTCTAATCCCGGCCCCGACACCAATATTGTGGATGACATTTATTTTATTACATAAGTTAAAATATTCGTAAAGAAACGACTTTCTGCTTTTAGCCAGTTTAAACCACGGTTTTTCTAGATTATCACCTCGGCCCCGGCGAGACGAATACGAGTACCTATGTTATAGCGACGGTAGCGTTAAAACGTTTATTTAAGCGTTAAAAAATGCCGTAGTGACTCACGTAGATCCATGTTATAGACATCCCGTTTCGCTTGCATTTGTAATACAAATATTATAGTCTAAATCGGATGCGGAACCACAAAGTAAAACAACATAATATGGAAAATTAGTGTGGAAACAAGTATCACGAACTGACTTAGCTGTTTCTCGCTAGCCTCATTTTTTAGCGGCCTCTCGGCCAGATCGGTCATAAAACGGCAAAAACGGAAATTTCTATATGAATGTCCCATTGCAACTTGCTGGCAAAGCTTATTCCAAGAAAAGCTGATGCATCCGCAAGTGAAAGGATTTTCTCTTCAATATAGTTTTTTTTACCATATAAGGCAAATCATTAATACAAACTAAAAACAGAAATAGACCCAGGATCGATCCCTGGGGAACACTACATTTGTATTATTGAACCCGATCACAATACATTTTTTGATAACATTTTCTTGCCTGTGGGTGAGTTACGAGGAAAGAAAGTCAATGGCAGATTTTCGAAAACAACTGTTTATTTAAATTGTTAAGTTTTAATAATATATTTCGAGCGTATATTGCAAAACTTAAAATTTGGAATAGCAATAAAAACTTCTGTATCAACATATTTTTTAGCCTCTATTGGACAGTGTTACAAATGTTTGGTAGTCTCAAAAGGTATGTTTTTGAAGACATTTATAAACTCATTTGCATCTTTATAATTCTGTTTTGTCGTTGTCATTTATTTATATTTAATAATTTTATTATTTTCCAGTTTTTTTATTGCCTTGTATCTTGTATTAACTGATGTTTTTGCTTTCAGTCCCGAGACTATTAAAGCTTCATCTGACACAGAACCCGTGGGCTAGCCAGAACCCACGGGTTTGGGCCCTCCGCTGTGGGTAGGGCCGCGCATGTGCTCATGCGTGCGTTTAACTATGGTGTGTCATCTAAGGGCCATCGAGGTTTCGGTTCGGACCGGGACCCCGATGGTCCGACGTCGACTGTGTTTTTAGCTAATCGGTGGTTGGGGGCGGTGAAAAACGCGTGAAACCCTGGAACGTGGGTGTACCCGTTGTGTTGGTCTCGCCGTGCTCGGAGGCGAGGGCGAACTAGTGTGTTTGTTGTTGCACTAACTGTGGGTGTAGTGTTATCCGGCGATACCCCCGGCGGTGGGTCCGACGCGGTGGTTGGGATGATGTTCGGCTCTATCGAAGAACCGTTTGGTCAGGTCTTTAAAATATTCGCGAATCGTCGGGAGTCTGCAATCGCTGTGCAGGTCGACGTTGCGTTGATACCACTGCGCTCCGGTTGCGCTGCGGATGAACTTATTTTGTACTATTTGCAACTTGTACAAGCGAGTAGGGTGCGTGTGGGCGAAGATCATGCATGCGTAGGACATAATAGGTCGGACGCAGGTCTTATATAATAATTTGTGTCTTAAGGGCATTTTACTTTTAGCGATAGTTAAATTATGTAGCCGGCCGGAGACGAACGCGGCTCTATTACGAATGTTATTAATGTGTGTATTAAATGACATACGCGAGTCGAAAGTGACTCCTAAGTATTTGACCTTTTTCTTCCAGGGGAGCGATTGGCCATAAAGGGATATTTGCCCCAACTTTATTCATTGGCGAGGACTTTTATAAAGATGTGACCTACCAGGACTTTAGAAATATATGCTTGAAAACATAGAGCGAGATTGCTGTGGTGACATTTTAAAAACTGTTCACGAACAGTTTGGCTCACAACTGGCGACGTATCGTAATCATGAATTAGATAAATAAAAGTAAGATGTAGATAAATATTACACAGGTAAGAGTAAAATGAATTGCATAAGATGATATTGCAATAATATTTTCTTGTCATCGTAGGAGGGGGTACGAAGCGAGCCTAGGCGAATATTTTTGGCTCGTCTCGCAGACGAGTTTTTTACATCACAAAACTTCACAATTTCGTTGTAGACAGAACCCGTATTAGAAAGGGCAAAAACGTCGTGTTGAAGAAGTTTTAAATGGAGAACTGATAATGATTTTATTTTGTTATCCCCTATTTTTATTTTCCGTATTAAAATTTTTGTTAAGGTTAGTTTGATAATGATTATGTAAGGATTTTTCTTAGTTCATTCACTGTGAATATATAAAGAAGTTGAAGAGGCGCATTGAGTAATGAATGATTGTTTAATTCACAATCATTCAAAAAAACATCGATTACGGCGGCTGGCATTCATGCAACGGCTCATCAACTACCGCGCTCAATGTCAATGTCAATGCTTGTGCCGATATAATTTTAAACCCCAAAAGATATCATTTGCCGTTTGCCTGTTATCTTGGAAAATGTATAAATCTTTTTTTTTTTTTCTCGTATGTTTTTCGTTTATTTAAACATTACCTTTACTCTAGGATAACATAATCCTGTGTTGGACGTGAAGGACGTTTTGCAAACATAAATTGCACGAGGACAAACACCCAGATGCGAAACAACTATCTGCGGGTCACACAAATAGTTGTCCCGTGTGGGGATCGAACCCACGACCCCCGACGCCGAAGCCAATACCTTGGCCACTACGCCACGGAGTCATCAAATAAACAATAAATAAACAAATGACAGCCAACATCGAAAGCAAGTGACAGTGTTTATCTTTAAAAGCCAACTAATTACATATGAAGATTGTTTCTGCGCGTTGGGTGTTGTTGTTTGATAGCGTTAGCCCACGAGCATAAAAAAAAAGAATCGACATTTCGAGAGCGAATCTCAAAAGTTTCAGGCGTATCGGGAGATTTCCTTGTCACGTTTTATGAGTACGGACGATCTGGATCCGCCTTTTTGTCCCAGAAATCAAAGATATGGAAGCCATCCTATGTTTTTTTATATCGACTGCGTTTACAACGCAGACCAAATGGGATTGCCTATTCAAGATAAAATTCCCACCCTATTTGCTAGATCTGGCACCCAGTGATTTCCATCTTTTTCATCGGCCCAAACTACGCCTTCGGAGCAAGAAGTTTGTAGATTATAGCGAGTGATGGTCGCTGTTGTGGCGTTATGGGCATTTATTTTTCTGAGGGTTTTTTGGATCACCCCTGTGCAATATCAAACGATGAGATTCACCTGATGCGAGTGAATGCATTGCTTGGCCTCGCTCAGTAGACGCTTCACGCCTTCATCAAAGACATCCAGGTGATTTCACACCCTTCACAGAATACAGAAAAAAGGCCGCGATTGCAACAGTTTTTAACGCCAACGCTGTTTCCTCTAACGTATATGTATTTACTTATAATTTTAATATGCACAGTACTGAGTAAAAGAGAGAGAATAACTACATAAACTACTTATATTCCATATTAGGTGACGGACTATGACACGAATTTTATAATGGCTTGACTGTAATTGAAATTACCATGTGAAACCAGACATAAACCCCGCGCGCCCCGTTTTGTTTCTTTAGCGCGCCTCTTGCGAGACATGCTTGTGACGAAATGTGAAACGGATTAGTAAAATGCCCGCCTCTTTTATCCACCAAGTAATAATTTAGTGTGCAAATAAATTTTGCATTAATACATACTTTTGTCCATACAATGCTTGATAAGTTAATTAACACGTATATTGTTTATGTAGATCTTATCCCAATTTTTTAATTATATCATTATTTCTTTACGGCTAATATCTGATAAAAACGTCGAAAAATGGTGAGCGCTTAACTAAGTCGTAAATGGCCCTCCATTTAGTATTTTGCAAACTTAAATAGTACTCTGTTGTAATCAAAAACTGCCGCAGTTCATTTTTTAACAGCGCAACTATCGCGTGAGGTGTCAAATTCATACGCGTAAACCGTTAAGAGCGCCAGTAATCGGTAAAAAATAATGCAAAAACTAATTCACAACACTAAATGTTAGGGGAGGGGCCCTTTTGACCACCTGGGTACGAATGGTGAACGTTCATTGGATAAACGTCAAGGAGGGCGGACTCAAGGGGCGGGGCTTAATGGGCGGGAAATTGTTGAGTAGGGATGCCCACTGGGTTAAGTTATCGGTAAATGAATTTTACGATTTGTTTTACGGTTTTTTTTTTCCTGTTTCTGTTGTATAATTTATTGTAATGACATGAATTCTCCACAGTATACGGGAAGCTGGTAGTTTTTTTAAGTTAATGAACCCTACTATTAGTCTAACATAAATTAAGAGCTCACAAATTCTAATTGTTTGTTAGTCGAATCTCCCAATGAAGATATTTTTAATCATTGCTTAAATTTAATAATAAAAAAAACAGAACAGATGTAACGCAAAATCTGAAATTATAGAGTTTTAGAAAATTCTGTGTATTAGCTCCAGCAGAGTGCCCAATTGTTCAGTCAATTAAAAACAAGTATTTATTACAGTAAACGTATTGTTTTGAGATGCATCGGGTAAGAGGATAAATTTTATTGCGCTTATCGTGATTTGAGGACCTTTAAGTATATATTTTTATTAAGCGCCGTAAACCCGACGGCAAAAATGATTAAATAATTAAATACTGCGCAACTTCTGAAAATTGTATTAAATGTGGGTGGTATTATTCATAAATTATAGATAGAACTTGTTGTAGGTATTGCAATACAATTGCAAAAGTGCGATCTGTGCGAACTTGAGTGTGGGCAGTTCAAGAAGTGAAATTATACCGATAAACCACTAACAAAGTCATTGGTATCGATTAATTTTATTACCGAGTGGTTGGTTATATCGTTAACACGTGATATTGCAATCGAAATGCGGGACCATTGAAAGCTTCGTCTCGCGGGAGCGATAGCGGGCGTCTCATTCCCGGCGGTCTAATTACATTGGACACCATCGAGTACGTTAGAGTACCAGTGCAATTAGAACTCACTCTTCCTCTCTCTTGCGCATAGATTGACGGCATATATCAAATCAGTTTAGGAATTTATGAAATTTTAATTATAAAATTAAATTAAGTTATTTATTAAAATGTAGTTAGTATCTGTTAGATTCTTTACTCGTTCGAATGGCAATTATGTATATTGTTACATATTAATAGTATTTGTTGCCAAATTATAAACAACTAATTACTAAAAATAAAATAGAAAAAACAAGATTAGCCTGGGCACTTTATATATAAATATTTCATTTGAATTATATCAATTCAATTCCATCATCTAGAAAACATATTTAAAAATGTTTACTTTTCACCAGAGATGACATAAATTTTAATAATTTTAAAGTTTTTTATAGCGCTAATCTCTGCACTTAAGATTGAACATTAATGTTGTATGCTGGAAAGGATATAACAATAGATACGCCAAGCATTGCTTCAAATGCTAAATAACAATGTAGAAAGAAGGCTTTAAGATTTTCGTCGCTGTGGCTGTCAGCCGTTTAGCTCAGTGGCTAAAGCGTCAGGCCGCGAATGTCGAAGACCAACCTGGGTTCGATTCCCACAGCGGCGACAATCTTTTCGTACTTTTTCTACATGTTTTAATAATAGTAGTAAAAATGTATTTTTAGTTATTTCTCAATGAATCAAAGAATAAAAAGCAAATAAATAAACGTGTGTTTGAAATAAAAAGGAAGAAAGAGAGAGAGAGAGAGAGAGAGGAAGGAGCGAGCGAGGAAAGGCGGCCGGGCGCGCGCCGGCACCAGAGCGGCATGAGCGCGGGCCGGTGCGGCAGTGCGGCGGTGCGGCGGTGCGGCGGCGGCGGCCGAGCGGAGCGTCGCGCGGCGCGCTTGGCGCGCAGCTACCAGGCTCGCATGAGTCGCGGGGGGCGCGGGACTCACCGGGGTACTGCCAGAGTGGCGCGGGGGGCGCGGGCGCGGGCGCCGGCCACGCCAGCGGGCCGGGCCGCTCGTCGCACAGCACGTTGGCCACGCCCACCGCCATGGCCGCCTGCGCCGCGTCTGCGGGCCGAGAGCATCGGAACAGAGTCACGTCGCGGCTGCGAGGTGTCGCACGCGCCCGCTTATGGGCTCTCGGTTTCCCTAACTTTTTTTAAGTGGACATAAGAATCACGTGCAGTATGTAATTCAGTTTGTTGATGCCACACACAATCTGATAACTCTACTGATAGATTTCGGACGCGGCGGCCTCTATCATGTTATCAATGGCTTGCATAACATACATTATGACACCCTGTTATCTTATGATCCAATCTGACTGACCTTTGACCGCTGTTCGCGTGTCCCTTTCGGCTAAGGATTAACGTTAAATAAATTTCTACCCAAAATTTTTACCGCTGTTCATTTAACGTATTAACTTAGACATGGAATAGGTCCGACTGAACTTTAATACCTCACTATTCAAGTATCGACATTCATATTTTCTTCAGGAAGCGAACATCGCAAATAAAGCTTTTTTACAGCAAGCGACAAAATTACGGCGAGGGTCGTTAATTCTAGGCGCACCCGACGAAGTCTTCGAAACCTAGTATTATTGTTATATTTTTTTTATTAATAAAATTACTATTATGATTTAAAACTAGAGAGAGTCAGCTGAATATAATATAAATCGAATAAAGTATTTTAATTAATGTTGCTAATTAGCTAATTCGATTTAATAGACATGTGGTGTATAGAGATTTATTGAGGATGAATATTTTATTGCAAAGCGATGGCTGCTCAAGCCGCGCGCCGCGTAATTATGTGGCCACGGGACGAGTGGCGGGCGCCTCCCGCCTCTACGCGGGGCAACCGGTTCCAGTTCCGGCCCGGTCCTATCTATGCACGCTACCCTATTATTTACGTTAACGGTGCGTCCTACAAGCGGGTCGACACACCGCCACTTTCAGTGGGCCCGAGAGTTTTGTTGATCACGGTTTGTTATTTTCATAGTTTTATATGAATATTTAATCACATACAACAAACATTACGCCCCGAAATGGAAACGAATACATTTAAATAAATGCGTACCCGAGCGAACCGCGTCCGAACTCTACAATACTTACTACAGCGATTCACCCGTCGTATTAGATAAGCCGCATGTTATGCGAACCTGGTACTCGCACACACGGCTCTTTCTACCGATGAGGCAATTTATTTTAATTAAATAGAAAATAATCAACAAATATTTCTTTTTCTTGTTGTTGCGTCCATTTCGTCCTACTCTCTCTTGGTTGGATAAACAATTACAACTTTTTGACATTTTATTATTATTTATCAATTCCAAGTTAGAATCGTTATCAATTTGCATTTAATTTCTTTGGATAAAAAAATATTTAAAATCTATCTAAAATTTAATATTATATATTCTATTAATATTATCTAATAATAGAATTATTTAATTTATTTTTCACATACAAAGAAACTGGGCACAGGGGATAAATTTTTTTGGTATTTTCTTATGTGCGTAACACACTTTTTTTATCGTACACACATTTTTTTTACTTTATATTTAATATGGTTACCAATAAGTTGTAAATAAATAAACAATAACTAACTTACTGTTATATGTTGAGATTTTTTAATTCGATGACGGAAGAATTATTTTTTATGTCATAAAAATATTTAGATGTGATGATATTTTTTATATTTATTATTAATTTATTTAATAATCGCGCTACAAATTGTAATTTTGTAGCGACAACAGTACAAGGAACTAAGCAAAAAAAAAGTCCAATGGCTAGCAGCACGTGCTGGGAATATTATCTCGTTCTTTTGTATAGTGCCATCTCTATCTCCCTCTTTCAAATGTAGTGTAGGGCAAACCAGATAAATATATGAAATTGTGAAAAAGAATATTTAAGTTACTCCCAAAAATCTCTTTTCATCATTGACAAATTTATTCGTTAGCTTAAAAAAAGCGCCATTATTGTATTTATTTTTAAATATATGTATATGAAAATAATTTTAATCCATAGTCTACATTTTTACGTAAGAATAACTTGAAGAAATTTACAAATGAAAAGCAAAAGCTATCAATAATTACTAATATTCCATCGAAGTAACAAAAATAAATGCAACTTTTCGTTATCTGTAACAGAGTAACGGAGTACTCTGCTCCGCCTATCAGTTGACCTTCACCGCGGCGTCACGTTCTCGCGGTTGCATTCCACGCGTATGCCCGTCTCGCTCACACTCGGTACGCGACGCGAGCGAACGCTTCGACGAAACTCCTCGTAGCCTCTGCTCGCCTAGTATCACGCGCGCTGAAGAAAAGGGTTTATCCGACGTCAAATGACCGCCGTTATGCCCCTAGGATTTTCCAACGGAGCACCATTCGTTTTCCGCTCAGAGCATTTCCGCAAAATAGAAAAAAGCTTTGAAAACTTTGTCACCAGAAAAAAACGAATGTAGAAAAAATAGTGCTGCTTCGAAAACAAGTATTAAGTCTCGGTTGGACGTTTCGGTTCGTTTTATTTGTTTGTCCGCTGTTATTAGTAGTAAGTAGACTGTCGTTGTTATTTCATAGATAGAAAATCTAGGCCAGATATAAAGCGGCGTCCTAGAATAGAGAGCACGCGTGGCGTCGCAAATAGACGCCGCCGCCCGCGACGTTCTGGATCCGTTGCAAAGGATAGCTCTATGGTGTGCATAGATTAGAGTAATTCACGTGTACTGCGACCCACCAAAATTAAACAGCATTCCAAGTATTTGAAGTTGAGATAAAAATCATGAAAAGCAATCAACCAGATTTTTGAACTTTTTAGAGAAATAAACACTGAACATAAGTCGGTTTGATTTCATGCTCGTTGAGATATATTATAAATATCTCTCACAATGTGCGCCCCTGTTACCTCCTCGTGGTGATGAAGAGAATAAAAAAACTCTATCAGCAGTTTCGATTACAAGTCAAGCTAATGCAAACACCTACTTAGTAAAATAGTGCACAAACAAAAAGCCTTTTTATGCAAACAAAATCTTTGGGATAGGAAGATAGCGCACGCTCGCTTTGAACACCCTTCATCTCGAAACATGGATCAATACTTATTTAAAGGAAATTAAGACTAAAATTTATGACATTAAGGGATAAATTCGTTTGTTACTGTTCAACAAGGGCAAACAGTGCGCTCTAAAGTTTGGGCGTGCATTTAGCGAATTGTAAACACGATGAAAAATTTCAATGGTGTAACTTACATGATATTGCAGTTGTTTAGAGATGAATGCGCTAAAATCATCACCTCAGATGCCATCGCATAGAGAAATTTACATTTTTCTTTAACTAGAACGCCCAATAGTTCAATGGCAAGGTTCTAACTTTTCATTCAGTTTTTTTTTTGTAATGTCAAAAGTTGCCAAACGAGTAGACGGTTCACATGATGGTGAGTGAATACCTCCGACCATGGACATCTGCTACACCCGAGGGTTGTAGATGCGTTGACAACCTTTTGAAAATTGGGCTCCGGCTACCTCATTCACCAAACGAAACGCGAAAGTATTTGTCATACTTCCACTTTACGCTGGTCTTCTGTGAGGTCGTGGTACTTACCCGGACGAGCCTGCCCATTCGTGCAACAGCCGAGGCTGCTGCGTGGCCCTACCGCCGTAAATGGGCATAAATGGCACATATGTAGGTACTATATTTTTTTTCTGGTATGCTCGGAAGCGGAGTAAGTTAGCATTATTTTTCTTGAGATTTAAATACCTATTCTGTAAATTATTTATGAATTCGTTCGCTACTGACACCATCATGACACAACGTTTTACAAGAAGCGTATTTATAGTGAACGGTGCCGGCTGCCGGTAACAACCGATCTCTTATAGAGAGTAACGATGCCAAATTACATAGAGTGCGACTCAAATTAACCACAACGAGTTCAGGTGGAACAACTACGAGAGTAACGTATGATCTGTCATCATTCCGCCGGGGGCACACATCTCTGCAAATGGCTCCGCGTCAAAAGGACGTATTTTTCCTGTGCAGTTTCATAAATATATTATCATTTAAATTTATATCAAAATATTTATGGAGAAAAACGTAGATAACATATAAAGCGCTTGTCTATAGTGTCATTATTGTGAGTATTATCTGTAATGTTTTATAGGAAATTGATACCTACCGAATTACCTATGAAATTGCCGTTCTTCAGTTCACTTCATTTCAAACAAAAAAACGTTTTGATTGGCTGCACATTCTAAATTTATATTAATTTTGTTTTAAAAACATTTTTTTTTCCGGTGGTAGGGCCACGCAGCAGCCTTGTTGCACGAATGGGCAGGTCCGTCCGGGTAAGTACCACGACCTCACAGAAGACCGGCGTAAAGTGGAAGTATAATACTTTCGCGTTTCGTCTGGTGAGTGAGGGGGCCAGAGCCCAATTTTCAAAAGGTTGTCAACGCATCTGGTACCCTCGGGTGTAGCAGATGTCCATGGACGGCGGTATTCACTTAACATCAAGTGAACCGTCTGCTCGCTTGGCAACTTTTCACATAAAAGAAAGATTAAGTTTTTGATGAAGTCAGTCAGAATATTTTCATTAAATTTGAACATTTTTCGTCATAATGGATACTTTAAAGAAAGATTCATGTAATTATGGAATATGAGTTCCGCCGTGGCAACACAAACGGCACGTTACGTCAACAACGTTCACGGAGAGAACTTTACAAATGAAGGCACAACCGGTTATTGGTTTGGTCGGTTCCGTTCTGGACATTTTGACTTGAAAAATGAACCTCGTGCTCGTCCGGACAGTTTGGTGGCTAAATTAAAAAAAGAGTGTCGTATCAAACGCTGGCAGCCCAGCTCACGACTGGAACAGAATTGGCAGAATTGGTGCAACGTAATTACAAACGCCCTCCTCCCCCTTGCAGTGCGTTATGCCAGAGTGGCTGCGATCCAAGGGACGCCCTCGGCTTAAACGGCTCATGGTACATTCCATATCGAGCTCACCGGGGACCAACATTCAACCAAACAGTTAACATCTGTTCTGAGGAGAACAGCATGTCTTCAAATCTAAGTTTACTTGCCAGATTGTCTTCTGGGACTTCGACTGACAAGCAAGCTTGTCGCATAGCTGAAAAGTGACGTCATTGTTCACTTTGTTGCTTGAGAGCATGCTAGCTTTATTCATAGATTCAAATGAAAACCAATCGGAAAGCAGTATTTTGATATCTCAATTGTCTTTTAACTCGCACCATGTGAAAGCAAACATAAAAAAACTATCGAGAAATCCAGTGCAATAACATGTAAGAAATCACCTATCTATGCATCCATCCAATCTAAATCTAGTAGAGATTCACTAAGTAAATGCCTATATTTATTATAATAGCTACTTTCAAGCTATTATAATAATATAGCTTGTATACAGGAGAACTGCAACAGAGCGAAATCCTTAATATTGCATTATTTCATCTTATGGTCTTATTCAGCGCTGGTTAAACTGCTTAGGTCGAATACATTATCCGAAGTCAATTTCTACTGATGATGTTGGTTTAGCATCCCGTTCGTTATTTCGTTTCATTTACTTAATTCAGTCCCAGGCAACGTGCCAAAATGCTTAAGACGTTTTAACATCACATGCCCCACATACGAAAATTCCTTGTTGTTGTTAAAGGGACGGCTCCACTAGACGTGTACCTACTAGCGTTTCAAATAAGGATTTATTCCTTCGCTATTTATATAATACTATTGTTGCGGCTGCATCATCACTCACAATCAGGCAATAATCAAGCGTTAAGTAGAACAGGATGAAGGAAATTTCGATCTGCCACTGTCAACTTCTGAGATGGCCCATTAGTCCTCGACCTACTCAACATTGTTTTAGTTTTTAAGAATTTTAATAGTTATTTTCTGTTATAAGCTACCCAACAGAAAATATGATAAGGATCTTTTTTCATAAAGATGATCTTTTATATTCCAGACTTCGCTAAGCTGTCCGCAATTGGAGCGTAACATTAGCGACTCCTCCGAAAGGCATGGTCAATGGCTTCTACCGTTCGAGCTCAAAACTGAAGTGTTTATAATATACTTTCACTACACTGTCAATTATATATTTACTACGATAAAAGAATCATATCACTCTATGTGCTTCTTGATAAGTACAACTTTTTTAATAGAGACCTCGTACGAGTAATAAGTATTGCGTCGAAAATGTTTGCTTTAGATTATTTCAATTAGAAATTATATATGTAAAGGGCCGTTCGAAAGTAATAACATTTTTGCCGTGTAAGTACGTGCCCCCGCAGACTTGGGCCACTTGCTGCGTCGATGTTATTCCATCTGGCGCGTGCTCCTTGTCCTCGTGAATCGGTGCGTTAGGAGCGAGGAGTCCGCGCGCGCTCCTCTAATTTACAGCCGCTTGCTACTTGAATTTCAACCCTCCCGCGTACACCATACGACAAATTTCGGCGTGCAAACGATAATGACGTGTTTATTGTTGCGTTCAAGTATGAGGAGGGCCGCTGGGGTGCCACCGAAGTATTATTATTAATATCGATTTTTGATTTCGGTACCTGATTCGCAGACGCTCCCAAAATTCGATTTTTTTGATTAAGCCTCCTTTGGAACTATAATCGCTGCATAATCGCCTGAAAAATCTATATTCTCATAACTTGCGAAAATAAGGAATTCGTTATATATATTGCGAGAAGTTGGTTTTTAAAAAGAAAAATTATTTCTCTAACAAATAATTGTAGCTGGAATTGAAAAATAAATATAAAAACGTCCGTCCATAACTGAAGCGTTTCAGTGTATTCGCTGGTGGAAAGTTTGCATGTGTGCGTGTCATTGGAACTGCTGCTGAACGAAGTAAACAGGAGAAGCGGCCATTTGGAGGGCGATTAAAAGAGCACGCGTTTTTGTTTCAATAGAATCGAAGGCGGTAGACGCGAGCGGCCGACACGCGCAATTGATCGTAATTGCAAAACTGATTAACATGTAATTGGCGCTGGCGGTGCGCTTCTTGGCGCGAAACAATTCATCGCAACTGCGAGGACGCATTCGCCTAATGGTTCATGTTGTTTATGTAATTCCTATTCGTTAAACATCACACATAGAAACTTGGTAGACACTCACTTCTAATCCGTAAACAGAATTACTGACCTCTTAAATTATCTATTTTATTATTGTTATCTGTGTTAATCCGGTAAATGTCATGGCATTGTGGAAGATTTGGATGTTGTTCCTCAGATTATGTTAAATGATTTTTGATAGGACACCATCTTAGATGGCAACTTCACGCAAATTAATATGTAATTTTGAAAGCATCTGGTATCTTATGAAGTCTCTTCCGTATTAATTTTAATAAAGCAATAGCAAGTGCATTCCTTATTTTTTTCCTCGATTGGCACTATAGAGATAAGTGCTGTTCTGATATGAATGTCTCAGGAATGCGGAGATCTACAAGCAAGAAATTGGATCGCCGTCTTAATAAGTACGATCACGCGTCCTCATAATGCTCTCAAGTTTGTTGGTTTCCTGCGCTCACTCTCAATAATTTTTAATACTCACTACTCTCTACTTACAAAGTCCGACTTTTAACCATGCACATCAAATAGTGAATGCACAGAGTACATGCTAACATGAAGTGAAGCAATGAATTTGATGATTTCTTTTTGTTCCTAACGAAGGAACAACTAAGGAACTAAAAGGCCAACCTTACGATTATACAGGATGGCTTTTCTAAGTGTATCCATTTTTTTTTTATTAGATTCTAGACATAAATAATGTTATATAAAAATGATAAATATTTAAAATTACTTGTAAGTAATTAATTACATTCATTTCAACTTATCTCAAAAAGTGCGTGATTTATACGCAACTCATTTATTTTACGAACACAAGTTCGTGCACAGTAAAATTTTGGTATTTATGAATGAATACTGCATTGTCAACACGTTCTGTTTTTTAGGGAATAGATTGGCATTTCAAAAAAAAACAAAAAAACTTTGTTTTTTACTTCAATAAACGATTATATTATCAACTCTGAACCTCCTGTGTAAATTTGAGCACTTCTCAAAAAATCTCCCTGTATATTGCCAAAAAATCGTTCAAACACGTCTAAAACCCTCGTTACTACCGTCCCTTGATTAATTTCTGTACATTTGTTTTTAACATGGAACTGATCATTTTAGGGTTCCGTACCCAAAGGGTATAACGGGATCCTATCACTAAGACTCCGCTGTCTGTCTGTTCGTCTGCCACCAGCTTCTGCTGTTTGAATGATCCGTGATAGTTGAAACTTTCAGAGATGATGTATTTCTGTTGCCGTAGCAAAAATACTATGAATGAATATTTATTTAGTTTCAACAACAAACACAGTTATGTAAACAAATAAAAGAATATATATCTAAGACATGAAACCAAATAGGTATGCACTCAGTACATACCAAAAATTAAAATTATAAATAACAAACTAGACTAAGATTAACACAAAGCGGGTACATTAATTTAAGTATTAAAAAACGGAATAAAAAAAAGTTTAAGTGGTGCTCCCACATAACGGACATGGTTTTTTTCCGTTTTTATAGATCGAGTCTGATATCTATAGTTCACAGCGGTTGTCTTACAACTTTCTAACCACAACGAAGTGGTCTTTATGCTCTTAAACTAAATTTTGAATCGATCCGAATCCGAACTTTTATAAACTCTGGACTTTTGGACAAATAAACAAAGAACTTTGAGCAATATAATGCTTTAAGGCCCGTATAGGCGTTCTTTATTGGTCTAAAATAAGTCTTTCGTACATTTATTTTCAGTTAATTTGAGACAAACGTCGTTATAAAAGTAGGCTTCAACGCAGCAGCCTTCGCTCCAATTGGTTTTTTTTATGTGAAAAGATGCAAGCGAGCAGGTGGTTCACCTGATGTTAAGTGATTACCGCCGCCCATGGACATTTGTACACCTGAAGGTTGCAGATGTGTTGATAACCTTTTGAAAATTGGGCTCCAGCCACATCACTTACGAGACGAAACGCGAAAGTATTTGTCATACTTCCACTTTACGCCGGTCTTCCGTCAGGTCGAGGTACTTACCCGGATGAGCCTACCCATTCGTGCAACAGCCGAAGCTGCTGCGTGGCTCTACCACAGTGAAGTGGTCCGGGGGACGCAACTAGTTTTATGGGCCTCCGGGGCCGTTTCATCAACGCAATGCTCTTTGTTGATCTCTATATATAAAAAACATACATAGAAATAGGAAATAAGGCCTGCATAGCTCATTGAACAAGCATTCCATATACGAGCAACCTGAGTTCAAATCCCGGCGTCAACAGAACAACATAACCAAATACAGATTTTTATTTTTATTATAAAATCAATTTCCATATCATAGGGTAAATGATTTAAATTAGTAAGATATAAATAGTACGTTTCTTATTCCGTCACTAATTCTGTTAAAATGTATCTTTGTGGTTTCTCCTAAAGTTGATAAACATTATTAGCATTCTGATCAGGCCCGGTCCTGCGCTGTGTCGGTTTTGTTTACGTGTTACCAATTTGTGAAATTCAATTACAAGTCATTTTAATTTAATTTCATTCATGAAGATATACGTTATAAGTTTAATTTACAAAGCAACATTTCAAAATATTGTTAACATACCATAATTATTAAACTAACAATCTCTTTCTCGCATGATTTATAAACGCGAGCTCATACATTTTAACTCTGTTACTAAGACAGCATAAACCAAGCGCTGTGTTTGGTGTGGAGCCTTGCACCATGCTTAACTAATTGTAATAACTATAATTAATTAAGTGCCATTCGATCGTGATGCATGAGTAAAGATTGTGTATTAAAATTTTAAACTATTCATTAATATAACCATTACCGACTAATTTTATGGAATAACTCAATTAATCCCGTGTTCGACCACAAATTTTCTAGTAATGTATGTAAATATGATATTACTACACATGTAGATAATTTTAAGGGCGGCAGGGCCACGCAACAGTCTCCGCTGTTGCACGAATGGGCAGGTTCGTCCGGGTAAGTAGCACAAGGCACCTCACAGAAGAGCGGCGTCAAGTGGACGTCTTAGTCATACTTTTGCCCCACTTCATAATAACGTATGTGTAAAACTACGGGTGTAACAAATTTCAATGGGTAGCGGTTATCTCTTAAGATCAGGTTCGTCACATCACATTAAAAAATATCTTGAAAAAAGAGGTGGAGAAACTACAAAAACAAAATAAAACAAAAAGCATATAAAAAAAATGTGAGCCGTCACGGGACGCCTGGCAGATGTGAAACATCGACATTATTTTGTAAAGTAATATGCAGAAAAGAACAGATTGTGATAGGAAGTAAATATGTCATAATGATAAAATAAAATATTACGATTTTTTTTCCAGATAACGATGACTATTTATTGAATAAACATTTAAAACAACAAGTAAAGTATAAAAAAAAGTAAAGTAACTATACCTATACATGTCCCACTGCTGGGCAAAGGCCTCCTCTATACAGGGGGTATCAGGGCATAGTCCACCACGCGGCCCCACTGCGGATTGGCGGACTTCACATATCTTCGAAATATATTTTTTTAATGTTATTATTTCGAAAATATGCTGCAGGTTTCCTCACGATGTTTCCTCACGGAGCACCGTCGATCGAACTCAGGTTGCTCGAGTATATTGAATTAAAGGCGACCGCCCGGACACTGAGCTATCACGGCACCATGGAATAAACATTTATTTTCATCAAATACAAAAATTTACGAATTTATTTCAAATCTAGACTTAAGTAGTCACGATTCGTTTAATCAGTGACTTCGGTAATAGTACACAAAATTAATTAAAGTTAATGTAATAAATAAATAATTATTAACAATTAATTTAAGTTTGAGTAATTAATCGTACACACTACTGCATATAGACCAACGTATAGCGTGGCGACGCGTCGACACGGCATGCGTCGCCACGCCAGAAACAGTTTTACTAAGTTTTTTGTGCGAGTGGGAATTTTGCAAAGAAGCTGCTGTGTTTTGTAGTAAATACATAATAGTACCAGGCGAACAGATTAGTCAGAGAGTTGCAGAATGTCGTACTGTAACCATTGCGTCAGTCATTCGTGTGAGCGAGACAGATGGCGATGGACATTTAAAACAGCAATGCAAATTGTGTTTCTTTTATTGGATATAATTTTTTATGTTACTGATGAATATTTATTAAACAAAAGTATTTAAAAGACCTATTTAGCATAATTTCTTAAATATACGTTTATATTTACTTATTTAAAGGTATTACGCCATGAATTATATTACAGACGAATTATTTACAAATACAATTTTAGATGAACGGTAATAAGCCTGACTACCATCTATTTTATTTAAAAACATAAATTTTTAGTAGATTTCTTATCTTACAGTAACTAAACGAGGACACCGTTTGAATCACTTGCTAAGTTACCGACAATAATAAACCGACAAGTTTTTCTATATTTGTATTTATTGTGTGAGGCTTTAATTTTATTCTTATTAAAGAATAGATATAACATGTAAGTAAAAAACGGAACAAAAGATATTTTCTAACAACTTGTGATTCCAGAGTCGAAAACAGAACTTCGGGGTATTAAAATGTGAAATTTGTAGATTAAAAAAATTCATTTGAGTATCGCGCCCTTTAATGAGCTTTTGATTCGTTGTAAAATGTTTCTTGCTGTAAATATTGCTTGCCATTCATCTCGATTGCAAAGTGCTAGAGGAGGTCCGAGTAGGCACACTCACCGATGTCATGTAGCCGCTGGGTGTCCTTCTGCGCGAGGGCGGCCAGGAGGCCCGCGTCGGCCACGCGCTGCCGCGCCACCGCGATGCCCACGGGAATCGAACCTGCAACGAACCCTGCGCGAGTCACTTCTCTCGCCGGTGCCAGACAGTGCAATGGCGGCATATCGCACGAACAACAAACTTACATAATAAACCAAAGACAGCGGCTACGGGTAAATCGTTAAAAACTTTGTTTTACGATTATAATATTTTTCTTGTCGGCAAAACTTTTCGGAGGAAGACACAACTGGAGGAAGTTTTGAATTGTTTAAGTTCCCGTATCTCAAGTACCAGGATATCATAAACAAAGTGTATAACAATCTCCATTACGTTGGCGCAACTGCAGTCGGTAGTTGCTGTCGCCATTAATTTAATGTCACACTTACCTACGATCAGCCCGCGTGTATTTATGGCATACTTCAGTCCGATGGCGCATTGTTCCGAGAAAATTGTTGAAGTGAACGTGTGTAGCAATTAATGATCGAGCATATTCTCGACTAGTTCGGACATGCCTCCAATACGAAAGTGATTGCGGTATTCGATGTTTAGCATTTAGGCGTGTCTTAGTACGCGTAAATAGTTAATGAGGCAGTTCGCAAGGGACTGTCGAGGGTGTTACCATTGTTGAGGGAGGCGGGTATGGCGGGCATGGCGGGCTGGTCGGGCTTGGTCCCGGGCGAGGCCTGCTCCAGCTTGACGGCTACGAGCTCGGAGACGTGCAGGTGGTGCGGCTCCCGCTTCACCTGCAAGTGCACGTTCTGCGCGTTGAGGCCCAGCCACGCCACGGGGTTGGTGCGGCTGCAGCCCCCCTCCCCCGCCGCCACCTGCGCACGCCACGCCGCACACGTTACACGCGCCACACACGCCACACACGCCACACACGCCGACAGCCACACACGCACAGACGCACGGGGCTCTCGTAATAATTATAATTATGTGTATGTATATGTGAACCTTCTTGGGGGAGCCGGCGAGGCAAGTGTTGCAGGCGCGCTTCGCCTGCTCCGTCTTTATCGTGAGGGGCTGCATCACTCCCAAGCCATCTAACAACTGGCGTTGGTCACCAGGGCAGCAGAGAGGCTCGGGCATGCACGATTTGCCAATCTTAGCCTCCTCCATTTTGTTCGGTTCCCTGTTGATCAAAAAATATATATATATTTGGTAAATTGCCATTCCCGTTTTACCCGATCTAACTTTTTTCCACGTGCCCGTGGTAGCCGGACTCGCATTTTGAAACATCATGGACAATGTTTGTGCAATCAAACTATATATGTTACTTATTTATGTTTAAAAGTACGCTTTAAGGTACGTCCGATAACATTAATTAATATTTGTAAAATGTTTTATTTTTATAAAGGGATTAATTCTTGATTGATAAATTGTGCAACACAAATAGCAGGGGAGAATAAGTGGCATCAAAGAGGCATCTTAAGAGGTTACTTTTCGGCGAGGAGGAGCCGCTGCGAGCAGGCGAGCAGGTCCAGGGGCAGCGGCGAGTAGGGCGAGTAGGGCGAGTAGGGCGAGTACGATGAGTAGGGCGAGTGCGGCGGCGGCGTGGGGGCCCCCAGCGCCGACAGCGAACTCCCCAGCAGGCCCTCCGTCACTGCACACGGAACAGAAGGGGCCTTAGCCGGAACGTTCTGCGCACCGCCTTTGTCTGCTCGGCACACCTTTTGTCTTTAACAACCGGCCTCTTTTTCAATTACCGTTAATCTGTCACTCTATCATCTTTCTCATTCTAATAATTTTATTGGCAATACCGTTTACGATAGCGAAGATTATAAAATTAACTCGACTGAAATACGCTAGCCTGCGCTCAATCGCTTTGTTAATGAAAAGCAAGTGATCGCCGATGAAGCAAAATATAGGTACCTACATATAAGGTTAAAAATTTCACGAAAGGCAAGTTGGTATTTCAAAATATTTTTTTTAACATTATAATTATTATGTTATCTTTATTTTTATTTTCTTACAATTCGGTCAAAAAACTATGAATGTTCTTTTTGCAAAATTGAGCGAAATTTACAGTGTGTAACAAAACGTCTCGTCTTTTGCAGATTAAATATTTCCAAGTACGTAAATGTGCTTATTGGCGTCGGGTTCTGCAATTCGAATGGGTGTGCTTACTTGTCCACTCCTATTCATAATTCATGTTATTTAATAACGCAGTTATATGATAGAAAAGTTAATAGAAAAACCAAACACTAGAGTAACCTAATAAAACACTTTTATTTTGCTTATTCATATTGCAGTCTTTAATATTCTATTAAATGAGAGAATTGTTTTCTACGTAATAAGGTGAAACTGAATATGTAGAGTTTACATTACCCAAATTGTGATACACGGATATGATGAAAATGATAGATCATCATCTATAGACAGATAACAAATCCTAAATTGCAATGGGGACCTCATACAGAAAAAACTAATTAAAGGGAGCTGGCAATTCTGGCACGCTGTTGATTTCATACAAACATAAATTATGGTCTGTTTAAACATATATTAATCATGTAACATCATGGATGTGTACGTAAGGTGAATGTGCCGTTGCGTCGCAATGAGGCCCTCGTGAACGTTCGGTCGGCGGCAGGTGGAGGCGCAATTGGCGCGCCATTAACGTCTGCAGCAGGAGTGCCACAGCACGCGACGCAGCAACGCCCCCGCATTGGGCAGACCCGGCCGCATTTACATACTTATTATGAACCAATTAAAACGGGTTCGGTGAAATTTTACAACTTCTGAACTCCCCACAACCTTTACGTATCATATCTTAAAAACTGAAGACTCGCGTTTTTAATAAAAAAAGGCAATTTCGACCGCATCTAATAAATTCTAACGTACCGTTCTGAATTGGGACGGAAATATTTCGTTCATATCTAACACAATTTAATCGAGACGTTTCTTTATAACGCTCTAAGTTCATTAAATCGTACAATCGTCTTCGTGACGCTGAAATCTGCAGCTTAGATACTTCGCCGTAGAAGTCACCGATTACAAGTCTTTGCATGTATATTATGAGCGGGGAGCGTGGGTGTGTGTGTGTTTGTTGGTCCCACGCCGCGTGACTTCGCCTAATGGGGGACGCAAATAGATGCGACGTTCGCGACGGAGATGTGCTTTGCTGTGTCTCAAACACAAAAAAATCTAATGATTTGACTACAGATTTACTTAGGTGGGGCATAGGTATTGAAACTTTGTGGAACTAGCCGCTTTCTTATAATTCTATCATTCGTAGAAATATGTACTAAAAGTTTACAAATTTAATATTTCATCTTAAGCAGAGATCTTACTGCTGAGATTAGAACTACAAAAATTTTAATTTCTAAGAGCAATGACGACATTTCTCGTTCGAATTATCGTAAAACGATATTCGAAATTGTTTGTATGCTGTAAAGGATAAACAATGGATGCGCCAAACATTGTCTCAAATGCCAAAAGAAATGTATATAAAAGACGTTCACATTTTCGTCGGTGTTGCAATGAGCCGTTTAACTTAGTGGTTATAGCGTCAGTGCGCGGATCCCGAAGACGTGGGTTCGATTCCCATAAGGGCGAATACTTTTTCGTACTTTTTTCTACAAATTTTAATGTTTCATCTTCAGTGCAGAGGTTAGCACTACAAAAATTTAAATACTATAAGTTTTTTTTTTTTTTCACTTTGCCGTTCATAAGATAATCAATTGGCACTCATCCAATGTAATATAGTGACTTAACATATTTTAACCGTTTCAATAAACCTTGAAAACTTTCAAACACCGCGACGTAGGATTGTCTGTGAATGAGTTCAATGGAACTTCGCCCCAATTAACATCGCAACGACACAGTTGTGGCTCTTCGAGTGTTGATTAGCAGTGGACGCGCTCAGGCGCCTCGGAGGGATGCGCTTCCCCCTCCGCCGGAGGCTTTGCTTATTGATTGAGGGAAACTAGGGTGGGGGAGTGCATCTGCGTTGCTACGGTCACTCACCATCGATAATTGATACACATAAGACATACCCGCCCACGAGTGCCACATTCCATCTTCTAAACGTTACCGATCAAATATTATGCTAATATCACTGTAACGCGAACAAAGGTTTAAATTATCGTTTTAAGATTTGTATCGACAAACATGTTGTTTGAATAGAGCGCTCATATAAATACACTAGTATAGCTTATCAATTCTGAAAAGAGGGTTCATTTGTACAAGTAACAGCTATGTACAAGTAACAAATAAAACAACACAGTTCAGAATTTTCAATATTATAAAAGAATAATAAGGTAATTAGGACAAGAATATTTTTTTGCCGAACTCTCTATAGTAAATAATTTCTTAGATTGTCCGTTTTCCGATGAGTACAGTTTTTAAGCTATTGATACCTTTAATCGCGGGCTTTGAGCGCGCCGACCGAATCAAGAAATTCCGTAACGAAAATAAAACCTAACACTCCCCACTCTGCCTACCATGTAGCTCGGCCGAGCGTTCGCTTAACGTGTACGTATATGGTACGACTGTACGAAGCTCGCACGGATGGATATTATAATATTATATTATCATATGATGATATGATATTTAGAGGATACCAAGTCTCAAACTTATGTTTATTATTTCAGTTACCATAAACCTACAGTTTCAATGATAAAAATTCCGGAATAACCTACATGTATTGTAAGATAATAAAAATAAAGAATAGATATAAATAAAATAATAGATAAAAGACGTTAAGATTTTCGTTGGTGTGGTAATCAGCCGCTTAGCTTAGTAGCTAAAGCGTCAGGTCACGAATTTCGAAGACGTGGGTTCGATTGACTGAGATTTCTACAAGTTTTAATAATAAAAATATTTTAAACGATATTAACTTCTCATTTATTCAATAAAAGAAAAAAAAATGTTTTCTTATCAGTCACTACGCGCAAAAAGTGTAACTTGAATTAATATCAAAGAAAATAAAATACTGCATAAATAAAAAATAAATAAATAATTATAATTGTATAAGTTGATAAAACCGCGGCAGTCCCCGAGTGCCACAGGTTTTTTAATTCAAACACGATGGGAGACGAAGATCATACATACCGCCAAGGGAACGGTATTAAGAAGCGTCTTTTGAATAAAAGGCGCCGTCCGGTGGAGTATCAATAATGGTGTGGGTTGCAATACCTTTATAGAGTCGTATTGAATTGAAATTCTCTAACGGCTATCACCTGATGGCTGCTCATTTAAAATGAAATAAAAGCAAATGCTCGTGTTTTAGTGAATGTGGGTGCAAACTGCATTTTTATGCAAGATTTTGTGCGGCCCCATAGCGCTCAGTTGTTCAGTTCATGGTATTTAAGATGTCGGTGTTGCCTGCACGAAGAGGCCAGCTCGCTGCCCATACCTTAATTCCATCAAACACGCGGGGGATAAACTTGGGGGAGTTTTCTCCATGAAAAATAAAACTAGCGAAAAAACGGAGCCCGAAGTTTATGACAATTGTTATGGCGTAAAAATAAAGACTATTCGAAAAGAAACCAATGAAATGTTTTGAATGTCTTACACAGCACCCTATATCAAATATAACACGCGAGTTGTTAAAATGAGAACCCGACTTTTTGCTAAAAGCAATGCCAATGAATATTTCGTTTAAGTTCGGCTAAATCGTTAATTATAATATCGCTAAACCATTAAAGCACAATACCACATTGAACAAGCCCATGAAAATTATCTTTGCTCCGACATATTGCACAAAGTACCTGGAGGACTGACCTTTGCTTGGTTTTTTGTGGTAAATCATGTATTAATTAATGAAAAAAAATAAAGAAAGAAATGATCTGGTATAGATAAAAAGTAAATAAAATAAGTGTGTAAAAGCACGATCTTTTGCCCTGCAAATTTGCTCCTGCAAATTTGCTCCTGCAAAAGAGAGCTATTCGAGCGGTTTATTACCTGGGCTCCAAAGATTCACTAAGAAACCTGTTTAAAGAAATAAAAATATTGACTGTAGCTTCTCAGTACATACTTGCTAATGTTATGTATGTCCACAAAAATAAGAATGACTTTTCAAGATTTAGTAATGTGCATGATGTAAATACTAGGAACAAGCATAAATTAGTTCTACCCTCAACTAAATTGCGTAGAATAAGTAAATCTTTTATGGGACAATGTATACGCTTTTACAACAAAATTCCAGAAAACGTTCAAAATGAATCCGTTGCTAAATTCAAAAAACTTGTAAAGGAACGTTTGTGTGTTAATGGCTATTACAGTATTAGTGATTATATGAATGATAACACACTCTGGAAATGAATTGATCGCTCCAGGCTCTTTCAAGTGGAGTTTAATAATTGTACACATATTTGTAATTTTTTTGGCAAGTAAAAAAAAAATGTCCCGCTGAGTTTCTTACGCCAGTTCTTCTCAGGTCAGTGGCTTACCTTCCGAACCGGTGGTAGAGTTTTTTGACTATCAATAAGTAAGTGAATGCTTCTATATTGAATAAAGATATTTGACTTTGACTTTGACTTTTACACACTTATTTTATTTACTTTTTTATACTTTTTTATACACGAACCGCGGCCTTCTGTTTCGGGGCCGACCGATTACCGACCGAGCTATTATAAAATTTTTTTTTCACCGTAATTTACCGTCATATTCGAATGATATTTTTCATTCCCTGAAAACAGGGATAAAAGTATATATATATGCTCGTTTAAAGGTTTTATAGATAGTGTTATTTCATAACAAAACTCGCTAAGGCATGATGCAAACTTACGCACACCGTAAGTGCACACGTAGAACGGCCAAACGCTACATTATTTTCAATTTCTACTCATATATCAAATAGCATAAAATAATTTCTCAAATAAATGAAATATTTAAAATTATTTAGGACTAATGTTGTGACCAGTGGATTTAATACATGACAAGTCAATTTTTTTAGTAACAAAAACAAAATCGACTTCAAATATATCGCTCTGTATTCATTTTATTATTAATTTTCAGGAGCCCCCTACGTATCTCCGGAGCCCGAGGTCCAATACCGATGAAATTAATATGGGACCACAATAAGGGAAGCACCAGCTTTCAAATAATAAAAAGAATCATCAAAATCCGTTCACTCACTCAAAAGTTATGAAACAGGTAACAAACAAAAACAAACAAAAACAAACAAAAAAAAGCAGTCGAATTGAGAACCTCCTTCGTTTCTGAAGTGGGTTGAAAAAGGTTAAATTAAAAAACAAGGCGTTTCTTTTTTTTATCCTTGTGCTATATATTATTTGGTTTTTTTCTATTGTAACTTATCTAGTAGCTTCCAATAACATTGTATGTTTAATACGTGGATAATGTAGTTGGCTGCAATATTTTTACTACATCAACGCAACAGACCTGTTCATATCATATATTGTAGCTGTCTGTTATCCCCAATAAAATAAAATAAAAAACAATAAAAACTATATAAATTACGGGTTATGCATTGCTACTCTATACTAGCCCACGCGGCATGGTGGTGCTAAGAACTCTAGCTGGATTTCCTTGCAGAATAGTTATACATAACCTCTTTGCGAGTGTATCAATTAGAAAACACATGTTGATAGAATTGAGAGAATTCAGAAACGATTTGTTCGTAGTCTTGCAAATCGATACAGAGCACCTAAACCTATCAAAACTTATGAAGACAAAATTAAAGCATCTCAATCTTATAAAACTTACGTTTTTAAAATTTTTACATAAAATACTAATTAAAGGATCTATCGATTGTCCGCTTTTACTTAATATAGACTAACATACAACGTCCCCGCCAGATTCGCGAGATATCTTATGGTGGTAGGGCCACGCACGCAGCCCCAGCTGCTGCACGAATGGGCAGGCCCGTCCGGGTAAGTACCACGACAGAAGACCGGCGTAAAGTGGAAGTATGACAAATACTTTCGCGTTTCGTCTGGTGAGTGAGGTAACCGGAGCCCAATTTTTAAAAGGTTGTCAACGCACCTGTAACCCTCGGGTTTAGCAGATGTCCATGGGCGGCGGTATTCACTTACCATCAGATTCAGGTGAACCGTCTGCTCGTTTGGCAACCTTTTCCATTAAAAAAAAAAATCCCGAGATATCCATGCAAGTTGTTTAACGCTAGACTATCCAAAACTAATCTGGTTCGTTTTTCACTATTAGAACGCTCTACCCGCTCATACAATGAATACGTTAAGAGTTCGGACATTGACATCCACTTCGATAGCATTGCTTCTTTTATTGCAAAAAATAAAAATATTGACTTGCCTTTATCCTAAATATAGTGACTGACCCCTGTTGGCCTCATTTTTAACTTCTATAATTTTTTATATACAGTATACAACGCATGATGTGGTTATTTATAAATGTAAGAACAGTTATCTATTGTATTATGTAACAAATAATTGTAGAAAGTCTAGAGGATAAAGCCCCATAGACCACATGTTTCAACAGCAAATGGCACAAATACATAATCAGAATATAGAGTGCAACAAGCAGCCGCCTGTAATTCCACCCCGGCCCTAGGTGAATATCTTGAGATGAGAGGCCGCCATTACGTCTACGCAAGGAGCGTCCCAAAACAGAGCTTTGCCTCTAAAAGTCAAACCGTTTGTTCTCTTACCGTTTCGACACAAAATGTCACAATGCTCTAAAGTTGTGAGAAAATAGAGGAAAACAAGAGCACTACTAACCTTGTTCAGGAAACTATGGCGACAAAAATAGCCAGCATTTATTTTGCCATGAAAGGGCGTGGATACCATAAGAGCTATAGTATGGTTGACAAATTTTCACCATCAAGTTAAATGCTACTTTCCCAAATTACTTTATGTTAAAGCGTGAAGCCAAATAACTCGATTCTTTATATGAAACTTCTAGAAAAGGGGCATGTACTACCAAAGGAAAATCCTTTGTTTTGGCTAGTAAATTCCAGTGGAAAATTTACATTAGAACAGATTGACAGCCAAGACATCCTTGCCTCCTCGCAAAGGAGAAGTAGGCTATGCACGTAAACACTAGAATTCTTTCTTACACCAATACGAATTGGAAAGGACTGGAGCGAAGGAGATACGTTGGTAAGCGCAATTATGCTGATTTACGAAGGACAATTTCTAAACAAGTACAACATTTTTGGTAGCAAAAAACAAAACCGATTTCAAATATCTCGCTCGCTATAAATTTTCTGTTTGATTTTGTGGGAATCCCAGATTTATCTCCGATTTGCAAGGTTCAATACTAATGAAATTAATATGGGGGGAGCACATGAGAGCTAAACAGGGGTCTGTTTAAAAAATAATTTTTATGATTGGTTCATATACGTATGTCGGAGTTGGGAGGTAATAAACGTAAGAAAACACATATAACCGAATTGAGGAACTCCTCCTCTTTAAAGTCGGTTAAACTTGATTTAACTTTAATTTCAAAAGAGGTTTCAAACTTTGTAATAACAAAGGAGTACCTAAGAGATAAAGTTAGTCTGCACAGAGTGTAGAGTAGAGCACGTAGTATTATGCCTGGTGAATAGAGTTATAAAAGTATATGTGATAAAGTTTTTTTATTAGTTACATATATTTTTTTAGGAAAGATAAATCCAAATGTGTTATTTATACTAGTTACTTAAATTGACACCGACATTTTTAAATTATTTAATGATTTCATATGCTCTATACGTCGTTAACTTTATCTCCCAACTTATCATCGTATACCAGGTTAAGGTCGAAGATTAAGTGCCTGCATGATAATTTTGACGTCGAACGTCGGACATCGGAACCAATAGTAAGCAATAGTAAGCAATAGTAAGCAATAGTTATCTTTTTTATTTTTTTTTCTGAAAGCACATAAGCATGCCATGTAGAAGGGAACAAAGGGATTAGAATCAAAAAACTGAACGGTTAGACTCTTAGGTGAAAAGTTGTCAAGCGAGCTGGCAGTTAACCTAATGCCAAGTGATTACCGCCGCTCATCGACATCTACAAAACCTGAGGGCTTAAAAATGCGTTGACTACCTTTAAAATAGGTGGCCATTAGTATGTAAAATCATCGTAGCTTTAAAACATTTTGTGATTTGTGATGTGCATATGCACAACTTATCTATGAGAAATATTGGTTAGTGACAATGTTGCGAAACAAAGCACCCAGGAGATAATTACATCGTATTTACCACGACAGAGCTGCCCGTAGCCGGTTGTCACGTGTGCTACGTAATACGGTTTAGGTTGCAAGGAGAGCATTAGCACCCATGATGGCGTCATGTAAGCAGCGCTCCGGGCGCTTGCGAAAATATTTAACCTAGAAATTGCAAGGGGCGATACATTCAATCTTGTATCCTATTGCGATCCATCTAGCACATTCCTACGTCGATAGTTTTAGAAATGTTTTCGTCAAAAAAGGTTTTGGGTTCTATTCGACACCATACATTAATTAGACTATTTTAAAGGTACACATTGAGATAATGTCTACGTTGTGTCTTGTTATAAGACAACTACACCTACGTCGAAATAAAGACGAAAAGAAATCATAAGGAACGTTTTGCAAAATCCATAAAATGGAGATATAACATATGGTTTTTGCAATATATTCAAGTGTCGAATAAATGCGGGCGCCCCACTGGGACCTAATTTAGGTAGTCGGAATGTAATTTGAGCAAAACGAGAACCGCTATACACAGGTAGGGAAGGGGCTCGGAACCGACCTATTTCACGGCCGTCGCTTCAGTTCCCGTAACCGGCGAAGGCTCCTCGCTAAGTTCTAACTGCACCTTAATTGTCGATTAAGAGTCGACAGTCTTTTGGCCGCTCTGGAGGGATAGGTGCGCGCCCAATGATGATCAATGATCCACCGTCCAAGGAAATTGGCAACAAAGGGGGTTTGTTAAAGGTTACGGACAGAATGTAGTCTGTCTGACAGTCTACCGGGACTGTGATACTTTCCCGCCTATAGCAGATTATTATGAAGCTTGTAGATATAAGAAGCTTTTGAAGCTTAGCATTAAACGTGATCTCCAGAGTCGTCAGAGTTCCGAGAAATTGGAGAAACAGCTTTAATCTTTCCTCTTACAGGTGACCTAAGGGCAAGTTTCCATGCTGCTGCCACGAGCACGTGCGGTGGCCTCACGTTGCATTATCGATCTCTGCACCGCGCCCACTGACCTCGTGCAAACGATTTAGCCCCGGTATGTTTTTTGCTCAGCACAAGATCATGAATCCCGCACTTAGGTATGTCCTAAACTCATTGTTGCCTTTCAGATTCAAGCTCGCGATCCCGGGCTGCATGTCGATACAACATGCGAAGACTAAGACATTTACTACAACAATACTTCACTATATATTCTACTGTTATTAATAAATAAGTACCCACATTTGTGAAGCAATATTTCTCAGCTATTTCAAATGAGTCGGTTTCAAATGTTCCGTCGTGTAGTAAAAGGTCACATTATGCATACCTTTGTGTATGGATTGCCTGTCAACACCTTGGGCCGGAAACAGCGAGTATAGCGGGAACCGGCTCACACCTAGGAACAAACGCCTATTAATGCCTCTTAGATATTTTAGTATTAGGGACTTTTTTATTTATTACAAACATTAACTTCTAATCCATTATACTGGGATCTAGCACCAATCATTTTGAAAATTAAAATGTTTTATTAATTACGTCTATTCTATATCTGGACCTCATACGGGCGGTTTCAATTTTATTATTTTACAATTGATTTGGTTACTAGCGATAGGTATTTGACATTAGCTCCATAACACTTACGTCAAAATTCTATCACCAGCATCCAAATCTATCTGTAGATAGAATATTGAAACCGGGCGATAGTGGTGCTAACCAAAAGACGCTTCTATCTGTCACAAGCCGCAATTGACGTTGCATAGAGATAAATTTATTGCAACCGTATGTCAAGTTAAAATTTGAAAAAAAAAAACGGTTTTGTTATTTTTGTGGTGATCTTCGCTGCCGAGTCCATTGCGCCGGGACTCTTTCCAAACTAAAGCAATTAACGCTCGAGGTTCCTAGTGCTATAAAAGCGAGGCAGCCAAAAGTGGGTCATCCGGTGCACAACTAAAAGGCGCCGGCGGGTGGGGAAATTGGTTTTGAGCTACAAATTGGAAGTTAAAATAGCCGTCATATTAAATGGCCGGCGGGAGTACCAGGGCGGCATACCTTGCTGGAGGTCAGAGGGCGGGCGGGAGCGGGCGCCCCCCGCCGCCCCGCCCAGCATCGCCCCCCGTGCTCGACCACCTCACCACCTGCGAACAATACACACACCGGCGTCAATTTACACGCATACACTACACACTCCAAGTTTCAAACCATTGGCATTTTACGTAATTGTTAAAATTTTTGCCATTTTCTACGCCCCCCGACAATTAAGTACTGTTTAATTTAATATTATACAAGTTTTCGTAGAGAAACAACGTAGTTGTTTACTGCAAATTAATTTAATTTAACTGTGCATAATAAACAAAAAATACCGCCAGTAGGTACTAAAGTTTCGCTCATTTGCCGTGATATAAGAATTAAGAACTGCAACATCGCGATCATTACAGGTCATCATGAAGTCGTAAAACTCGCGATAAATTATTGCGCAAATTAATCTCACGATATTACGCCTCTATTGGCATATGGCACACAGGGCCGCCGTGTATAATTAATTAAACCGAACGAAAGGCGAGCGCGTGCGTACGTGTGAGTGTAAAAAAGGCTCTTTTGAGGCGCGCGAGTGAAAGGTGCACGCGGGGTGAGGGTTGCGGGGCGGAGGGGGGTCTGCGGAGGACCAGCCTCCTGGCGCTGCACTGCACTCTGCACTAGCAAGTGCACCGGCCGCCCATCAGGCCGCGCCGGGGCAGCGTTGCCACGCCACGGCACCGCCACTAATGCGCAGGCGGAGGCCCACAAATCGTGCACTCAATACACATGCGATGAAGGTTATAAAGTCGGGGAAACGTTTGCTCTATTTCATATTATTATATTTTGATCGTCAACAACCTTAGAAAGACTCTTTAGAATTATGCACCAATTTAAATTGAAGCCATTTGAAAAAATAAATAACATGAACGCGACTTTAGCAATAAATCAATATCCTGAAAACATTTTGAAAATAAAAATTAATAATAAAAAATTAAAAATGTAAAACTACTAGAATATCACGACAGCGTAGATCAGAATTAACTATTATAAAGAACGGCGGCTTATCATTGGCGCTCCAAGCAAAAGCTTTTAGCACGCTCGCAATGTCGCAATATAGGTAGGAATAGGGCCTTTGTACCTTTGCACAACGTCACGTAACAGCGCCGAGCCTCTCGCAGAAGCCAAGGGCCTCAGCAGTTCATAAACATGACCTAACCAAAGACCACATTACATGGCATGTTAAATTCGACCAAAACTTTTCATCGGCAACTAGTTATTTCTAATGCCCCGCAGAAGCGTTCCGCAAGGTTAAACTATTTGTAAATTGTGTTGAAATATGACTAATTGGCATAACAAGTTTAACGGATTTAACATTCAACATGTACGTATAAATATAAAAGTAAAATAAATATTTCAACACGCTGAATGTACAAAAATCAATGTCTGGTCATTTGATGTCCTAGAAATAAAATATTAAAACCGAAATAACGACCAGCAAAATGCCCTACAGATAGGTCAGACCGAAATATACATATATGACCGCATTACGTTTAGCGTTTAAATGACTCCGTAAAATATAATATCGCCGTTCAGAGGCACATGTGAAAAAAGATATGGACAAACCAGCGGTTCACACACATTCCACATTAGAGGGACTGGCCATATCGGACTCTATGCACGAGTGCGGAAGGATGGCAACCGGAGAAGCAACTCCGATCAGATCAGATGTGGACGTAGGCGGCTCATCGGAACGGACAGACAGACAAAAAAAAAGTTATATTGTTCCGTGTGCTATTAACGAGTGAGAGATGTTAAGAATAAATTACGTTAACCCATTTCAAAAGTTTTTAGGGGCGCGTTGTAAACGGGATTAAGGCCTTCGGGGAATTTCGATGGCACTCTCAAATCTAATGAAAAAACTTACCACTCTACTTTTTTGACGCGATGTTTTTCCTTTATTAGAACGCTGACACGCAATTATATATATTCAAATGTATATATGTACGTCTATGTATGTCTATGTACGTATATTTGATGCTACAAAGGTTGATACGTACAAAAACAATTTAATTAAAAGAAGTTATATATTATATGATCCCACAAAATATGCTTATAATAATTATAAGTGAAATGGATTATTGGAAATTATTGAATGCTATGGAACAATACAGATAATCACGTCGTTGGGGAGTCACGTGCTGTCTGCACGTGACTCCCCTAGTGCGATGATTTAAATTGCAATCTTTCATTGAATGGTGCAAAAATAATTCGTAAAGGCACTTCTCATACTTTTGGCATTTTGGGTTATCAAAATACACTACGTAATACGAAACGACATATGTAAAGTAGCCTATACATGTCCCACAGCTGGGCAAAAGCCTCCTCTATACAGAGGGTATCAGGGCATAGTCCACCACGCGGATTGGCGGACTTCACATAGCTTCGAAAAATATATGTATATTTTTTTTGTTATTCTTTCGAAAATATGCAGGTTTCCTCACAATGTTTTTATTCACCGCGGCGCACGTGATAAGTCAGCTAAAAGCTTAAAGTTAAAAACTTCATTGGTGCCGGCGCCGGGGATCGAACTCAGGTTGCTCGAGTATATTGAATTAAAGGCGAGCGCCCGGACACTGAGCTATCACGGCTCTTTTGGCGACCGCCGGGACACTGAAGCTATCATGGCTCAAAAGACATGGACATATCTGTATAAAACTCAAGGGGTTATTTTCTGCGCCTAGAACTTTAAGCGTGGTTATTACATAAAATATATTTCCTAATGGAAAGAAGTACGTAATGAAATAATTATTCATTTCATAATGCATTTTCGAATCTAATAATTTTTAAGAAAAGCTTTCTATCACTTTTGTTTTTCTGAGATTGTTTATCGTTTTTTTTTTTCTGATAAACGACAAATCGACAAGAAGTTAATCGAAACGAAATTTTTTCGAAATTTACAATGAACAATTGACCCCGCGAGGTAATTACTAAATCAAAAACAATTTTGGAATCACATAATCAATTATATACCAAGTTCTTTATTTTAAAAAAAATTATAAAGACAAAAAACACTGATACTTTCATTAATTACTCAAATTAATATATAATAGTATATAAGTGTGGCAAAAACATTCTCAAGTAAAACTAAAACTCAATTTAAGTTAGCCTGTCTTACCTACCACAGAATGTTTAAAGCGGCAAAAGCCTGAAAAATCGTTTCTTGATAAATGCATGTTTAAACCTAGCTGATGGTAGAAAATAATCATCAATAGCGTCACTAATCATCTCATTTTTAGAAAGGAATTTATTAAACGTGAATTGATTAGTTATGAATATCTGTATCTGTAAATTTTGTGTAGAATTTTATGTTTATGTTTTTCTTTTTTTTATCTTTTTTAAAAAAAATTGCCCTTACTTTAGGATAACATAATCATGTGTCGTCAAGACGTTTTGCAAACATAAATTTCACGTGGACAAATACAAAGATGCGAAACAACTATCTGTGGGTCGCACAAATAGTTGTCCCGTGTGGGAATCGAACCCACGACCCCCGACGCCGAAGCCAATACCTTGGCCACTGCGCCACGGAGTCATCAATCATAAAACCCGAGTAGATAAAGAGAACCAGATAAAAGTACTATCCCCTTTTCAGTTTTCTTTTAATTGTATCCGTTTCAACAGTCAATGGATTCTAACAACGTGACAGGTGGTAAACCTGTCTAATAAACCTAGCCTAATTCATTTCGCGAGCAAGAAATACACCTAATATCTTCATATTATGTAATATAAGCCGTCACTGCTCACCCTCAGCCCCGAGGCAACAATTAACCTTTTCCGTAGGAATTTTAAGGAATTCAAGTAGATATGTTCCTCTTGTTAGTTGTCTCTTAACAAGCCATGTTCCAATTGGAGATTTTCGTACTTCATTTCAAGAGATATATTACCAATAATACGTTATGAGTCGGACGCAGCATGAGTCAAATCCCTAAGTAGTGGGTGGCTTTTTTATTTACATTGCCATTGCCACTCACAATGGGAGCGAGTAAGCGCTTCCTCCGGCGTGATGGGCCCACACCATTGCAATTAAGTAATTGTACTTAATGAACATTTGGACTAAAGTGTAAATTAAACGGTTAACACTAAACGCGGGCGACAATTGAGTGTAACTGTCCGCTCATTAGGCGAGGATTTTTATTCCGAGAGCTTTTTTATGTGAAACGTTGGCAAGCGAGCAAATACTTTAACTGATGTCAAGTGATGCACATCAATATCTTTGAGGAAAGTTACTTCTGACAAGTCGCAGAGGCGTTGCCAACTATTAAAAAACCAGCCAAGTGCGAGTCGGACTCGCGCACGAAGGCTTCCGTACCATTATTTATAAAAAAGCAGAAAATCGTGTCTGTTGTATGGCATTTATGTATTTTTAACAGAAATACATCATCTGTGAAAATTTCAATTGTCTTACTATCACGGTTCATGGGAGAGCCTGGTGGCAGACGGACGGACAGACAGACACACAGACAGCGGAGTCTTAGTTATAGCATCCCGGTTTATCCTTTAGGTACGGAACCCTAAAAATGGGTCCCGGTTACCTCACTCACCTGACTAAAAGTACGCGAAAGTATGATACTTCGTATAAAGTATATTTGCTTTTTCAGGAACTGTAGAGTTTTACATAAAACAATGTAACACTGTCGGCCTTTATTATTTATACGGTTTCTCCTTGCGCTGGGTGTAAGTGCAGCGATACGGTCGGGCTGTGGAACTCTATGATCGAACTAATGTGGGAGGTGCACGGGCGCCTTTGTGAACTGCAGACGTGGTGGGATCGTCGAAGTTCATCGGTTCAACCTTGCAACCACTACGCGATTCGAATTTGCATCGATACAATTGTGTTACGGCGGTTTACCGATGAATTTACAAAATTACCCCATGTCCTAATGTCTCCCGAATTGCTTTCGCCGGCTTTTCTAGGTCGGTGGCCTTTGCTTTCCGAATCGAAAGTAGTTTTTGACATTCAATAATAATTCCATAATGAACCTTAACATCATTTACGATCCCTGGATTAGATATTGAAGATGGAGAAGGCAACTTTACAACGCAAGTAGGTACTTATTGCGTTTAAAAATCCTGTTCTTTACAGCAATTTTCATTCTAACTTGCATCATTCTGCGGCGGCCATTCATAACTTTTAGGAGTTTATGCAAATATGTCGTTCTTATCTTAAAAAGCCTATCGTCTGCAAAATAAACTTCTGTATAGAGACATCAACAATGAAATATTTTCGGCCCCTTCGGTGGATAATTATCATCAAAAGGAACATACCTACTCTGAAATGCGGATCGGTTTCATGTCACGAAGATTTAATTGGTGGTTTACTGTTATTTAGTGAGGGATCGAACTTAAAAATCTTCCATTATTATTGTTCGGGCTTTCATTAAATTAATCATTCACGTCAAGAAGAAGCTTATAACTAATGCAAAATTACTACTGATATTATAAACTTGCACGTGCACTTGTAAATGCAGCCAACGACGTCGTTCGGTTCCCAATCAGATTGATCGGCCGACGATGGCGGTCGCCACTCGGCCGATAGCATCCACGGGAGAAAGGCGGCTAGGGTTAGACTCTTCCAGAGCGACTAGCGACTGGTTAGTGCCCGTTGAGCAAACAGCCGCTTTGAGGATTATAGAGCCCGAGACTCGCGACTAGACCTCCAAGAGTAGAGGGAGATCCCCGTATTCGATGTACACGTGGATTATTTTGAATAGTTGATGGAAGTCGGTGCCGGAAAACTTAACACATTTCCACGCTCACAAGCTTATATTGCAAATTTTGAAACTAACATTATCAGTTAATAAAAACTTAATGTTGAACACTTATCAGAACTACTTGTGTCCAATGTCTGATTAAAAGAGCTGTCGGGTAGTTTCTTTTTTTAATATAACATTATCCTGTGTTGTAAGGACGTTATACAAACATAAATTTCACGCAGACACACAGATGCGAAACAACTATCGTGGGTCACACAAATAGTTGTCCCGTCTGGGGATCGAACTGACGACCCCCGACGACGCAGCCAATACCCTAGCCACTGCGCCGCGGAGTCATCCATAGTTATAAGACAAGCAACAGGAACAACCACGTAAGGTACGGGCTGAGTATCACAATGGAATTTAGAAAAACCTTACGAAAAGTCGAATATCGGAAGTACGAATGTTTGTACATAATTTCTTACCACTCCACGGTGCAATGGCATAAAAATTGCGTTTGCCAAGTCTTGAATTCGCCTTGAAGTACAATTCAATCTTCACCATTTTTTTAAACAAATTGTCAATAGATGGCGTATTCGTAATTTTTTTTATTATGATAAACATTAACTTCATCCTATTTGATTACTTTTCCTTACCAACGGCAAATATAAGATATAAAATGGTTTCAAATTTTGATTTGAAACCATTTTATATCTTATATTTGATATCAGAATGAAAAATATAATGATGGTAAATACGATGAAGAGTTAAAGAAGCCATAACTTCTACTAGCAACAAAAAACACCTTATAACAATAATAAACAGAATGTCGCACTGATGCATTAATGTTGATATCGCCTATCATCTCGCCGAAATTAATAGGAAGCAGAAAATTAAATAGACATTATTTTTACTGACAGTTGAACTGTTGTTGTGACTTCTTAATTGTATTAGAATTTAGATGATACAGCGATTAACTGATTTGAAACGAAATGGCATAGTGGTGAAAATGAGATGAACCCAACTGTTTAAAAAAAAATGTATAAACAATAAACTCATTATCGTCTAATGGAAATATGAATAATTTAATGGATGAAAAAAAATCAGGCAGTCTAAAATTTATATTAAACTTCCTTATTCCTTGACAATCATGATATTTGCAAGAAAACATGAATATGGCTTCCACAGACGCTTCTTTTGAATTCCTAGAGAGTCGCAATAAAAAGTTGAGTTTTCGCGCCAACGGTATCGCATTGCCGTTGTACTTTTTGCTCTAAGCGGGAGCGCGAATTATGAGCGGGCAGCATGCGAAAGTGCTGGGGAGCGCAGAGTTGGAAAAAGCAAATCTATGCTATGGGCTATGCTGAATACGTTACCCGTTAGTTTCTTTTTTCAATGAATTTTCAAAGTTATGCAACTGCGCTCCAAATATAGAATAAGAATATTTAATATAGATTACGGAAGCCTATCCAAGGCATGTCAGCTGTAATAATGTTAAAAACGTAATAAAATCCGTAATGGTTTGTTTCTATGTGCGCGTAATTGACTTAAATATAAAGGTTGTAATAAAACATCTATCCCTTCCTTTTATCCCACTACCACTAACAATGTCAAAGCAATCGATAGGTTGAATTTAATATATGTCATAAAAAGGATTATCTATCCTAATACAATCCGTATCTCAGTGTCATTATTAAGTTAGTCCACGTAAACAAGACTCAGCAAGCGGGTGAAGTTGAAGACGCAGAGTTGGCATCGCGATACACCTGATGGCCACTTCACTCTCTCGTGTACTCTCCTCTTATATACACACACTATTCCTCTTGCTAGGGCACTTACTTAGGCATAAAAGGACACAGCTACATTTTTATGTTAATAACTCTGTGGAAAGAAGGAAGACTTTTTGTCACGCCAAACTGTAATTATCGTTCCTACCGCGGAAACAATCGCTAAAAATCAAAATCGCCCACCTTGCTTGTAGTGTTCATTCCGATTTTTTACAACTAAGAAAAGTAGCTTTGTGGTTGTTGTTGCACTTGTTGATGAGATGTTTGAGCCTAAGCTGAGTACCTTCCATTGTTTTGTCTCACATGGTGCGAAATTTTTTTTTCAAAATTTATTCTTTCTAATAAACTTAATGTACAAGTAACACGAAACAATTTAACGAGTTATAATTTTGTCAAATAAACTAATTTATGGATTAACCTTTTTATTTCGTATTTACTTCCGAGTAACGTTTGAACTGACATTTTCGAATAATCAATTTCAAACAAATCTGAACGCTGTGAGTCCGCAGCCTATTATTTAACAGTGTGTAGTATTCGCGTCAATACATTTTCTTATATCCTTTCAAGTTTCATAGAGGTATAAAAAGTGTTATTTTTGTTTCTGTGAATGCATAGCGCGTTATGGTGACGACAAGTTACAAATCATTTTCGGAAAAAAGTATAAAAATTCATTTTTAAATTAATTATAATACGAATAATTAAAATCAAAAACCCTACCCACTCAAAATGACTTGTTTTATTTGTGACAATCCAAACAAATAAATAACAATTTTGAGTAATTGAATTTATAACGTTTATGATATTTTCATTTTATAATGCTTGACAAAAATACCATCGAACAACTAGAAATTTGTTTTACAGAGATCAAATATTACAAAATCAAATGATATCGAAATTTTAGCGTCACCATCTTCAATGACAAAACACGTGACGTCACCGATATGGATCGTGATGCGAACCAATTAACTTTCCCCATCCAAAATTGGCCAACTTACCTACAGAAGGTTTCACTCCCAATCCCAAAGTATAATCAAAGTACTTTGGCCCCATAGAAATCAACCATTTCGTTTCGACAAGTAACCTGCGAAACCTAGTACAGGCTGATTAGATGTAAAAGTAGAACAAAAGTTTCGTCATTTCGTCGTGATCCAAACGAACGCTCGAATTCAAATTGTGATAAAAGGAGCTATCAACCTCCATGGAAATTGAAATGAAGCACTTTTAAAGTTTCAACATTTTTTACCTCCGTCGGCTTTATGAGCGCACTCATTCCCGAGTAATATCATATTACCGAAGCCAAAACAAATAAAAGCGAGGCGATAAATTATTAAAAACGACAAAATTAATCCGTTTAAAGCGCAGATATTATAAAAAGTTCGCTCCGAAAATTTAAACTCAGCTCGCGACAGTATAGTGCGGTAAAAGGGTAAAATAAACCTTAATAGGTTGAAGTTTTTCCGGAAATACAGCCCCCTAGGAGGATAGGGCAGGAGGCAATGGAAGAGAATGTTCAAAAGTTGCGGCGCGTGGTTGTGCCTCGGCTACCTGGCGCTACCTGGGCCGGGCCGCGGTGGGCCCCTGCCCTGCCCAGCTAGGCACGCGCTTCCGAGAAACGCCGACACCCGACCCTGCCGCGTCCCCATTGCCGCCGCTCCGATGCAATGTTGCGCTCCACATGTGCTTTATTTACCACACGTGCGGCTCTTAAATCGGCGCTTGCCGATAACAATAATTGTGTCATTACTCCCTTAAAATAAAGAACTATATATTCCAATGCCTTTCCTCAACAGAAGACATAAAAAAAAAAGCACACGCCGCTCCGCGAATCTAACGGGGATAGACTTAATTAATATACAAGGTTTAAAAGAAAAGTGGTGTGGTACCTTAATTACGTAAAAACTACTATTCAACAGATAGTAGACACTATGTACCAAAGACTTAACTACGTATTGGATATAATTAGGGTCTGTATGTCTGTCTTCTGTTTGTCTGTCTGTCTGTCCGTCTGTAACCAGGATTTATGTCATGTACCGTGATAGTTAAACAGTTGCAATTTTCACAGATGATGTATTCAGACAATGTACGGAACCCTTCGTGCTCGCCTTTGGTGGTTCGCCGCGCGCGCGGTGTGCGACATAATGAAGTTGGCGACAAAGTTACCTACTTCGACCAACTTCACGGTAACTTCACACGCAACCAAATACAACATTTTGACATTTACCTAATTCCAATTCATTTAACTAAACCGTTATCAATTATCTATCAATGCCTTTTTCACAAACACCCCCCTTGAGCGTTGGACCACAAGTAAGTTCGCCGTCACCCGGCCGCAACAGGGAAGATGCACTCTATGGTGCTTCTTGATGCCTTCTCAAGACAAAGCGACCGTAGAGGCGAAAGGCGGGAGGCAGGCGCGGTTGCGTTGTTGCGTGACGTGCCGTGTGCGGCGGCTCGCGACCTCCGCCGCTGCCATTTATAGCCCGCCTCTCGCATTCCGTTAAAAAGGCTGTGTCTGCCTTTAATTACCCCTTGGCCACCACATAATCGGCAGCCCACTCGCACCAGCCGCCCATCTTGTTAAACAACGTTTAGCGCCCCTGTCGGTACTACATCTCGTTCTACCAAAATACTTTATATGATTGTTATGTGGATATGTCATTACGTGTTTGCTGTAACCTTTGCCAAGATGAGGATGACATTATCTATTAAAACTTCTATTCAGATTATTCTTCTATTTTGGCAAAATTTAAATCAGACTCGCTTTCAAAGTTCCCACAAAAGATTTACAAAAAATTAGGAGTATGATGACTATTATAGTCCAAAAGTTAACTACTGTACTTAATAATTTACAAAGTAAGAATTCCAGTTATTATATGAAAGGTTAAAACAATTATGACGCAAAGCCGCCGTAGGTGTTTATGGAATTTCTTACAGCTCTGAGGAAAGGTTTTAATTACTCCGTTTCTACTTATATTTATTTATTCTTTTCAAACGGTAATGTCACCACTAGAGTTACACAAATCAGAAACTGCTTTATTCGTAGAGCATTTGTCATTCATTATTGTTTTTCTCGGAATCATTAGTCAATCCGACCTTTTGAAAACTCCGAACTGTTAACAAACCTTGCTCTGTGCAACTTTTTTGACCGAAGGCTATTATTTATTAAGCAATTTTCACATTCACAATATGAACGTAAGAGCAATGAAACGTTTTTTTAAATAACGTATCACATCTTAAATGTATCCTTGCCTACCTATATCGTAAATAATCTTTACTTTTCGCCCATTTTAGCTTAGTGTTTGGGCGCTAGCTTGTAATTCAAAATATTCGAGCAACCCGAGGTCAAATCGCGGTGCCGGCACCCATGAAATGTTTTAATTGAAATCTTAAGTGTTTATTTATCACTTGGCCAGCGGGGAAGAAAAACATAATATAAACAAAAAAATTCTATTTATATTTCGAAAATTTGCAATTTTTCGCTGTATTTTTTTTTATCTGTTTGATTTTTTTGTTTGCAAAAAATATTTAGATGGTTTGTGAAATTCAGCGATCCACGTTGGGGTCGCGTGGTGAACTATGGCCTAATATATATATACAGAGGCCATTGCCCAACAGTGGAAAACATTTTACTTCAGTTTATTGCACAAAATCTCACATTCCTTCCGTCCTCGCATTATTCTTAAAAACGAATCCGATTTTTTTGCTTCATGCAATAATATATAGATAAAGTTCCTTTGATCATAAGATGACACCTCATAAAATGGTCATTAGATATTTGTATAAGAAACTGGCCTCTTTTTATATCAAAACTATACTTAGCGTAAAGATATTTCGTAACATTATTCGGCGGGTATCTTCATAACAGAGTTAATTTAGTTAAATTTAGTTAAACGTTTTACATCAGAGCGAGTCATTAATTTTGGGTTCTCAACCGTTCTTCGTACATCGGAGGTGCCCGTTAAATATTGCTGAAACTTGTAGTTTTCATAAACGCTGTTTTCCTTACCCAGTTGCCGTTGGCGACAAGATTGAGCGATTGGAACGGGTGATGGTTTTGGTACAGCTCTTAAAGACGTTTTAAGCCGCGTCCAAGTGAATATAGTCTTTACAAAATAAAACGCCGCCACGATCGTTCATGCGCTGGGACGTGCTTTGATACGTTCTCATGTGATCCCGCAAATGTATGATATGTGTACACGAAGCTACAAGTGTGTACTCCAACGCATTGCAGGATCATAAAATAAACATTCCATTTGGACGAGGCATATGAGGGAATATTGGACTCAACTACTGATTTGCTCCTGCGTTTTACAAGCATTCCCAAATGTTAATCTTAACATTGATATTTTCAAAGGGCGAACTGGAAAATTACAAATAATATTATGGAGCAAACTTAGACATTTAATTTCTTCCAACTGTACGAAAATTTTCGTATGACTTTCTATGTATAATTGAATCAATGTTCTTGTAGCTTATTCCTGCGACAAAATATACAGAACTACAACTATTCTCTCTACGATCTGAAGTTCACATAGAGGTTGCGATTCAATCGAACATTCAATCCGCCACTCGACGGCTGCTGACAATACAGAATATTATATTTCTTTTGACTTTGCATTGTGCAATTTGCCTCCCGCCGCACTGGTTTTGTTCCGCGCCTAAATAACATATTATTTATGTAAATTCTTTACACTAAGAATAGTTTTATGAATTAAAATGGTAAGCTTCATTATGTTATCGCTACGGATTATGTCCAGAACGTATGACTAAATTAAAATAACAACACTATGCTATACACTCCAGCTATATATTACAATGTAATTATAGCTGTAAAGTAAAAGCTGTAGCAAAAGACCAGTAACCGGAAGTTGACGACATATTAACGACGACTTGTGCGCAATGTGTCGCGGTCACATGCGTCATTTCTAACGGAAATCGAAGAATACTTGAAACAAAAATAGGAATCTGGTATATCTATACAAGCATTACGATGAAAGAAATAAACGTGTACCCGAAAATAATATCGATATCGAAACAAAGGGGAATCCCCCACAGCAGATGTCGTAAGAGGTTCGGTTTAGATGAGACAGGCCGGTTTGTCACCGCTAATTCGATTAAATGCACCCGAAGCAATCCTAAAGCCCCTAAACATGGACCCTTTGTTAGCAACAGTCGTCGTGTGCAACGTGTAAGCAGTAGAGCGTACGTGGGTACAAAGTGTGATGAGTAAGAATGTCTATTTCCTTAAATAAAGACATGCGGCGTTTGGGCTTACATCTAACAATAGACCGGGGAATGACATCAACAAGGCCGCAGTCTGTTGCCAACTTCGCCGCCTTAACCTCCGATCCTTTTTTCATTTATTACGCTACTCTCACATGAAAGTGAAATATTACGATATAAACTTGATCCATAAGCCTAGAAGGTCTTACAACAAAAATCAAATAAAATGTGGCACATATATTAGATACTTCTGTGATAGATTTAACACCAGTTGACACATTTTCTAGCTTTATTTTACAAGTAACCAATTTAGATTTCTGTTACATTTATTAAGAGAAAAAAAAATTGTTTCATATGTTTTGCCTTTGTAGAAAGAAACCAGAGCGATATTCGAATTTTCAGTAAGTATAATCACTTACTTTTTCAAACTTTATTTATTTAAGTCAATCAATTAACTTTCTAATACTCATCACCAACAGTGATCTCATATTGTCATCCCGCTGTTCCCAACAACTAATTCAAAGATTCTCATGTAGGTTAAAACATTCACTATATATTGTAGCCGGACAGCTTTTAAACTCTTTGAAGGACTAACGATGAAAAACTGCCAGTCAGAAGGTGTACTATTCAGATTTCTTCACAAACAAACTTTTCACATCACTGAAACAACAAAATCCGTACCATAAGATACCATGATACATTTTTATATCGCATTCTTTAAACTGTTATTAAGAACATTCCAGTTTCAACTGCAAACCTAAAATATCTGCTTTACTGTTATTTAAAGTTGGCGTCACACGTCATGTTCGTACCCGATGTAAAACCGACAAAAGCAAGTGATATAAATTAAAATATTTTACTTTGCTTTGGTGCGTAGAATCAAAATTAACTAATTAAAACTCAAATCCAAAGAAAAAACCAAATTTTTTGTCGGCATGTGTTATTTATTTTATGACCATGTTATTATCGTGAATTTAAAATGTGCCTTAATTAAAAACCTTTATAAGAACTCCTATTGAAAACAGAACGTAAGATTAAACTAAAAATGACATTTTACCAACTACAATTTAAACATATACATACATAACAATACAAATTATCGTATATGTGTAAAGTTTGCTTATCATGAGTCTTATGTTGGAAACTTTGTAAACTTGTCGTTTGCTCTTGCGTGAATGTTTCTGGCATAGTACTAGGAGCACAATAGGTGGCACACTCCGAGGAATCTTTGATCAGATTATGTTACATATTAACAAAAATCAATTCAGTGGAGCTTTCATTTAATTCAACAGTGAATTTTCTGAAGTTTATGAAATAGATAACATAAGCCAATCTACTAAATCTACTTTCTAATTGCCATTGCGTGCATATGCGTAGCTTTTGAACAATTATAGTGGGAAAGGACCAGGCCAAGGAAATCCCAGGTAGCAGCAAAGTGTAGACTGAAACACAGAGACGCCCGGAGATTCCGTCAGCGCAACAGTGTTGGGAGAGAGTCTTTTGGTGCAGATTCAGTAATTGTGTGAGAAAGCTTTTGCACGTAGCTTAGGCACGTACGCACATTGCGGAAAGGGGATTCTTAATTGCAGCAAGGTACGTATATCACGTACCTTGCATGGCCTGTCACTGTTAAATCATAAAATAAAATATTTTTATCTAATAATGTAATATAGTACATTTAAACATTGGATGCAATCCGCATTTGGAGACAAAACGAACCATTTTGTATTGATCACATATACAACATTATAAAATACATCGCCGAGGCATCGATTAAGTGAGCAAGGGGACTGTCGCCGGCATCCGGCATCCGGCATACGGAAACCGCGAAATGGACAGATGCAGATCAGGAGACGCGCAAAGCTCCCCCATCCGGTGAGGTGGTCAACCGCTAGAACAGTCGATGCCGTTGGGATTGGACGAATCCATCGTGCTATAAACCTGAATTGCAAAACTGATAATCAATAGATCATTTGTCAAAACTCGCCCTTTGTTGCTTGCTTAAACTATAGATGGAAAAATGGCAATATAACCTTGTTGGAACTTTCTAACGTTTGTAACTTCGGAGCGTTGAACTCGCACTGATGTGAGTTTTCCGTGTACGTAGGTTTAAGGAAAGGGAAATTTGTTTATTTTTAATGTAAATTTTGAATACTTAAGTATTCTACACAACAATATCTTTCAGCGAGAGCGGTTAGAAAACAAAGTCTTAAAAAACAAGCGCCCATTTCCTATAATTAGGAAAGTTAAGAG